GCAAGACTTCATCTCAAAAAAAAAAAAAAAAAAAAAAGATAGATGATAGATAGATAGGTAAATAGATAGATAGATAATAAATAGATAGACGAGAAGAGGAGGAGAACAGAAGTCAAGCCACTTTTCAGCTTTCTTTGCACTACGGAATTTGTGCAGAAAGCCAACGAGAAGCCAGCTGAATTGTACCCCAGAATTCTGGCATCGTTGGCAGCGGGGATGGCAGATGCCTCCAGAGCGAGGGAGAGGGAGCAGGGTGAAGCACAGGAGCACTGGCCGGTCCCTCCTCAAAAGCTGCGAGGCTGGTCTCTGGCCCCAGGTGGCACAGTCAGGGGACTCTCCGCTCCCCACCTGGCTGCGGATAGCTGGGGACCTCCATCCACTCCCTCCACCCCTTCCTTCACCACCTCCCTTCCTTAAGGGAACTTGGGGGGAAATATTCCAAACTGCCTAAAAGGTCAAGCGTCAAAAAAAGGAACTAGCTGGCTCCTTTGAAGACGCCATCATTCTTTTCTGGATGTCTCTGCTTAGATCCACAGGAAGAAGCCAGAGGCAAGGCCCAGTTTCCAGGGAAGGATGGAGTGCACGCAGAGAAGGCCACGGACAGGCGCAGGTGCCCCCAGCACAGGGCACTCCCTCCTCCGAAGACAGCTAGTTCTGGCACCAGCTGGGCGCTCCCACCCGACTCCACTTGAATTCCTTGTTGTAAGTTTTGTGTTTTCCTGAAAATATTTTATGCCATTGTGAAGCTATTCAAGGAACAACCGAAGGGAGCCGAAAGCTGCTGGGCGCCTCCTCTGTGATGAGCCCTGTCCTCGGGAGGCTGCTTCTGGCCTCAACCCCTGTCCTGCAGGGGGTGTCATGTGAGAGGCAGGAGGCTGGGTGCTGCCCGTTCTGCCTCCTCTTACCATAGCAGAGGAGTGTGAGTCCCCGCCCCACTCGTGTTCACGTGACTGCTTACTCTGGTGTGCAGCAGCCTGAATCCCAGCCCCGTCTGCCTTAAGCAGAGCCTCCCAGCTGAGCCCAGCTTGGTCAGCCGGACCCTAGCCCAGCTGCAGAACTGAGAGTGAGAAAGAATGGTTGGGAGTCACTGAGTCTGGACTGGTTTGTTACACGGTAATATTATGGCTGCAGTTGACTTACACAGAGAGGTTATATGACTCACCTAGAGACACACAGCTATAAAGTAGCAGCCCCACGGTCGTCTCCACTGCCTTGCCCAGTACTAACCTGGTGTCAAGCTGGGCATGGGTGGAGTCACAGTAACCTTGTAATAGAGGACCCAGGATGCAGGTTCTGGGATGATTTGGGAATAAAAGGCAGGACACAGTGACAGCAGTGTGCTAATCCCCCTGTGAGCAGAGTGGACCGTCCCATCAGCCCACAGCAGGACTGTTCGCAGGGCGAGACCTGGGAGAGTGCCAACCTCCTGAGTCTGGCAGGAGGGTGCCTGGGGGCAGGTCTAGTCCCTCCGGCACTGTATAAGCTGGAGGGACCTACTGGGAGGATTTGGAGACCCCAAGACCTGCCCACCCCAGGCTGCTGACTCAGCACTGCTAGGTCTGAGTCAGCAAAAAACACCGGGCTGGGCCACACAGTGCCTTTGTGCGGAATTGCAAAAAGATGCCGGCTCCAGGTGAACACAGGTGGCAGGGCTTGGCCAGGACAGCTGAGGCAGCCTCTGCAGGAACTTGTAAAAAGGCTCTTTTTCTTCCTTTATCATCCTTTGGGTATATACCCAGTAATGGGATTGCTGAGTCAGATGGAATTTCTATTTCTAGGTCCTTGAGGAATTGCCACACTGTCTTCCACAGTGGTTGAACTAATTCACACTCCCACCAACAGTGTGGAGAGCGTACGGCTGGATTTCAGCCCCTTCTGCCCTTGGACCAAAATGCCTTGCTTAAGACACAACCTGAACAACCAGACGCAGTAGCTCTGGAAGAGCGGGGTCAATGCCTGTTTGGCTCCTGCTGCCTGACAGTGAGCCTCACTCAGCAGCCAAGCCAGGAGCCAGCTGTGCCTTCCTGGCTTCCAGGACAGCAGCAGCACACAGTAGGCCCACAGCCGTCAGTGTGTGCCATGGATGGACTATCAGTGACAATGGGGAGTGGCTACTCTAGGGTTCTGCCTGCAGTCCCCCTTGTGTGTGTCAGACTGGGGGTGGGGCATTGATCTGGGGTCTGTCCAGTGTCCAGTAAACACCAGGAATCCGGCCCCGAGGCTGGGCGTGGGGAAGCAGCAGCAGCTGGAGAGCCCAGCTTCCCCCACCCCTGCCCTCAGCCCTGCACCTGCTGCCTGATGCTAAATTACTCTCGGCCACTCAGGTAGAGCCACTGCTCAAGGGCTCCAGGGAGTGATGGGCTGAGATTCTGCAGCTGAGGAGGAAGTTGATGTGTGTTGGGAGGGAGAGGAGAGGAGAAAAGATGGGCTGGGAGGATGGGGGAGGGGGATCAGCTGCCGGCAGCAAAGCTGCCTCCACTCCCATGTAGGCCTCCCTGGACAGGCGGAGCATGGGGAGGAGAGGGCTCTGGAATGTCACATGCCAGCCTATATTCCATTCGTTCATTTTTAAAAGGGTCAAATGAAGTAAAAGGTACCTGGTCCAACCAGCAGGGATGCAAATTCTTTCAGTTAAACACACACGGACGTTTAGAGAACGGAAGATGCCCAGCTCAGCCCACCTCCAGAAGGCCCAGACAAAACAACCTCAAATCCAAGGGAAAGGCTGTTCCAGAAGAGACGGATCAGTGGAACCAGTGGAAGGGACCAGAGATCCTGGTTGGAAGAGACCTGAGAGAGGGGTCTTGCAACCCAGAAGCCACAGAGGTTGAGCTTCTGTTACTCTCAGGGTTAAAGTTGAGAAGAAAACCTCTGGCCAGGCTGGTTGCAGCCCCTGCAGACCACTGCCGACCCGCCCCGTGCTCCGGCCCCTGAGGTCTTCAGCTGTGAGCGAGTCTCCCTCTGAGCGCTCGCCCCCACCTCGCCTTCCCACCCACGCCTTAAGTGATTCGTTTTCATTCTGTCTTGTAAAAATGACCCGCATGGAGATAAAGCAGTGGCATGCGCCCGCAGCTCTGTGCATGTCGCACGGCCTCCCTTGAGAGCTTCACAGATGTTAAGTCACTCACACCTCGCCACCACCTTGGAGGCAGGCATCCCCATTTTACAGACGAGATCACCGAGGCAGGGAGAGGTGGGGTAAGGGGAAGAGCTGGGATCAAAGCCAGGTGGGGGTGTGAACTTGGCTCCCGGGTCACCTGCCTCCAGCATTACAGGGCTAAGGAGGACAAGGGGTGGTCACACACCTGGGCTGTAAATGCCACCGCCGGGCACTGGCCACGTGATATCTTTCAAGGCTCCATGAGATAAGAGGATGTCACGGGGCTGTAATTTCCATTTCCCAGGAGGAAGTCAAGCCTCAAGGGGCCTGGGCACAGGACCCATAGCTGCTGCGTGGCAGTTGGGGACAGGAACGCAGGACCATGTCAGCCCTCCTGGCTCAGCCCAAAGGTCACTTCTCGGCGGCCCCCTCAGCCTCCAAACTGTCCAGTGCTCTATCAGCCATCCCGGGTGGCCAGATCCCAGCCCCCCACTGAGGTCACTCCTGCCTGTGAGCACCTGCAGATGGAGGCGCAGCTGGCCCCTCCGGTGCAGTCAGGAAGCAAACACCTGCTTGCTCACTTCCATCCCCCACTCAGAAGCATCCCGTCGGCACAGGGCCCTGTCTGTGGTGCTGAATGGAATCCACACGTCACAGGCGGGTGCTGGCAGGCCTGGGGGCCCCAGGCATCCCCCAGCTCTACAAGTAGACGCAAAAAACGTTACAACTTCAAAGAGGGGCGAGCACCGGAGTTTGGCCAAGGCCAACAGAATGACAAGCGTTAGCCTCCTTTTCCTCTTAGCAGTTTACCCTCAGATACACGGCCACACATGTCATCACGGACACCGGTGGTGAGAAGTGTGTAGTTAGGTGATTTCCTCGTTGTGGAAACATCAGAGAGGGTCATACAGTAGGATCACAAGCCAATGCCTACCTTCTGGAACCTTCCACTCCAGGATTACAGAAAGCCATGTATGTCTACTACCATTTCCTACCCCAACCCTACCTGGGCTTTTGCTCATGATTTCCCCTGCCTTGGAAACCTCCTCTGCCTGGCTGACCCCTGCTCATCTCCAGAACTCAACTCAGAGGGCACTTCCTCCAGGAAGCCCTCCCTGACTGCTCATTGGTCAGTCACCCACTCAATGACCCCTGGGCCTTGTGTTGTCCCTGTTCGTGTCACTCCATCAGAGCAAACCCTGGAGGACAGGAACCTGGAGTGAGACCCCTGTGACCATCCCCCAGCCCTTCACCTGTCCTGACAGGTGCTCAGAGAAACATCTGCTGAGCAGAACTCCTTTGTAGCTTAAGCAGAAGGCCTCCCCAGAGCACAGGAAAATGAGCCAGGCAGCAGGGAGGAACCCTGGACTAATGCTTCTGCTGCTCGGCCTCAGGCCAAGGCAACCCTCTCCTCTGATTTGCCTAAAAGCCAAGATGGGGCCCCTTTGTGCAGTGGGGGAGGGGTGCATTTACCTCGCAGGGTTTAGGGCTCCACTGCCAGGGAAGTCAACCATTGTTTGCTGACAGTCCTGTGACAAATCGTTTTCTGCTGCAGAGCCGGGCTGGATGTCTGGCTGGTCTCCAGAGGCCTCGGGGTCACTGGTAGAATCATTACCTGCCCGTGGGGCAGCCGGAGACCAGCTCCTGTGTGCCAAGTTCCTGCCTGAATCTGCTGGGTCACCAGAGCAGGTCCTGCCCCAGAGCATCTGATGGGTGCAGGGAGCCTCCATGTGCCCTTCCAAGGGCTGGGGTCTACAGACCGGGCCAGGGGAAAGCAGGAGTCCGCTGTGCTGCACTGCAGAAGTGTCCCGGGAGCCCGGGCACAAAGCTGGAGCCGACCCAAAGTGCCAGTCCCAGACGGGATTCACGGCCCGGGAGAATAACTGGCTGCTGCCTCCGGAACATGATTTATTAGGGAATCGTCGGGTTAAGCTGTAAAGATCGTCTTGGCTTGCTTTAATGGATTTCCTGGGTTGCCTTTTTGCCCAGGCCCAGCACATGAGTGCACGGGGGGTGCATGAAGTGACAAGATGCCCAACGCCTGAGCTCCTGGCAGTCCTGGAGACCAAGTGTGGTGGCACCACGCGGCATCTCGCCGACTCAGCAAGGGCTCAGCTGGCTGTCCTCGACTGCACCGGCTTTCTGTCCTCTCTCCATCATGTTCCTGATGCTCAAAGCTAATGATGTTGTCTCAAAATACAGAGGGAGGCAGAAGGCAGATCAGTAAACCAGCGCTGCAGGTTGCTTCTGGCTTGGAAATTACAGCGAGGTGCAGGGCTGGTCCAACCGGCAGAGGGATCACCGCAGTGGTTTCCAGTCTGGGGACTCCCTGAGGGGTGGTAACGGGGCCGCGGGGTCTCCAGGGGGGGTCCCTGAAAACCTAGGTGGACCGCATCATCTTTACTTGTTGACCAGCAGCATCTAGCCAGACATACACGGCCGTCGCTAAATGCAGATTGAATAAATAGACGGATCTGTGGGTAAATCAATCCAGGAATAAATGGATGAATGTGCTAAACCATCAGAAAACCCCATCAGCTAATTTAAAGGGTGAACTCCATATGCTGAGGCTGCTCTTCTTATGTCTCAACAGCTCCCCAATTTTCCTCAAAATAAAACCCACTAGTTTCTATAATTGTGAGTCACACGAGATGCTGACATCAAGGGAAGCCCGGGGAAGAACCGATGGGAACTCTGTGTAATTTTCATTTCAAAGCAAAATGCTAAACTATGTAAAATCATTGTGTGCACTTTGACCCTTCCCGGGGAGCCCATGGCTCCTTGTCCTTGTCTTTGTTTGTCCTTCCATGAAGGGACAGCCACTCCAGGAGGGGACAGAATTGGACGGGTAGCACTGACGTTTCCCTCAAGACCCTCCTCAGCCCCTTCCCAAAGAGAGAGGTGACAGCTCTGTGGGTGAGCCTGGGTCAGGGTCTGGTGCCTGTGGTTCAAGCCCCCTGGACTCCGTTATTGGGGGGCTGCCCTCAGGAGGGAAGCGCTCTTCTCCTGGGTCACCCGCCTGAGTCTCTGTTCTCGGGGGAAGGAAGGGGTGCTGGATGGGAACGAGGCAGTGACTGCTTGCAGCTGGCTTGATAAGAGTACGCTTTGCCCACTCCCCCTCCAAGGGGCATATCCAGAGTTCAGTTTTATGTCTCAGGGCCTTTGCACATGCGTTCCCTCTTCCAGCCTCGCCCTTCCCACCTCACCCACAGGACGCTGCCCAGCCATTCCTTTGTGGCTGACTTCCAAGCCACGTAGCACTGCCCTTTCCTTCATCCTGTCCCTCAGGGCATGGGTGACACTTGCGTGCATGCGGATTTACTCACAGGAGTCTCTCCCACTGTCCTGTGAGGTCCCTGGTGCCGGGATCAACACCAACGCGTCTCTTCCTCCTTCATGCCCACTGCCTGGCACAGAGTGGGTATCAACAGATGTTTTTGGAGTGAATGGACTGACTAGAAAGTTCTGGTCAGTTTTAACGTTTTTAAATGTAAAATGTCTAATAAGTTAGGTGCTTCACTTAATAGACAAAAAATCCCTTAGAACACGGGAGGGACCCCTGGGGGCAGAAAAATAACAAAACAATTCTCCGTGGCTGATCGTGTTCGCAGCTGTGAGATCCGTCCCGGGCTCGCCATTCCAGCATTGGCGGCACTGGAACTGTCTTTCTTTGCCATAGGAGGCTGGCTGGGGTGTTGTAGGATGTTTGGTAGCTTCCCTGGCCTCTGCCCACCAGATGTCAGTAGCAGTGTCTCAGCTGTGACAACCAAAAGTGTCTCCAGACAAGGCCAGATTTTCCCTGGGGGAGTAAAACTGCACCCAGCTGAGAACCTCCAGACCAATCATTCGATAGGTTTTGGTGCAGTAAGTATTTCCTACGCTGCCTTGACGTTGCCTCAGCCGAGCTCCTCAGAATGTGCCAGGCACCGGCCAGCATTGCTCTCAAGCTCTGACAACGAACACAAATGCCTAAGCCGAAGGCAAAACCACTTGCCACTAAATGAGGGCTTTGATTGCTACCAATTTCGTAAAGCACTCTCTGAAGGTTCTGCTTCAAATATTTATGGAGTCTATGAAATGGCTCCGGAGAACGAGTGGTCCTATTACAGTTAGAACTCCAGTGGTGATTTATGGACCTGGGAATTGCTGCAAATGCTTTGTCTAAGCTCTTGGTGAAAAGCCAGGATCCTCGCTGGGCTCAGGAGCTCGGAAGGTGCTGGGGCGTTATCGGCGTGGAGGGCGGGACGGGGCATTCCCCCTTTTTCTTGCAGACGTTGTGCGGGGAGTCCTGATTCCTCGGTGACCGTGGCCTGGCACGTTCCAGGATCAAGCGTGGACCCCGAGGACATAAGGAGCTGCAGACAAGAGGACAATAAAATGGTCTCTGCATTCACGTTTGTAAAAGCCTCTCCGTTCACACATTTAATCAAAGAAAGGGGTCACATGATAGCTAACAGCTACGGGCACTTTCCGTGTTTGGCACCAAATGCTCCTCACGCATTGGCTCACTTCGTTTGGTGACAGTTCAGTGAGACACACACTGCCATCACTGTTCTGGGTCAGAAATGAGCATGGGGCAGGGGGAGGCTCCCACTGCACCCCACGCAGCAGGTGCCTGGCAATACAGTCAGGAGCGGGTGTTTCTGTAGCAGGATGTCTTCTATCAATTTTCTCCTTCCCAGTGACAAGAGAAAGTGACCTTCTCTTCAAAGGGGAACTAATGTCTTGCTGGCTGCAGACCTCATGCCCAGCTCATCCCAGGGCTTCCCCCAAATGTGCCATCTTACTTGCCCTTACTTAGTACCCCCAATGAGCTATCATCAGGCCCTCTTTACAGATGAAAACCCACATAACAGTTTAAAAGATTCTAAATGGCTTCACTGAATGTCTGTAGCTCTGAGTGGCTGGCTCTGCATTCAAAGCCAAGCCCATCTGATGTCAAATCTCTGCTCTTTCTACGTCTCTTTCCAGTCACGATTAGACCTGTGATCCCTTCACGTCGAGCACCTCACACCTCTCAGGCACCTTCCCTGCAAACGACAGAAAGGACCGCCTCACCCGGTAACATGTGAGTCCTGCTAACACCTCTTCTCCCTCTGCTAAAGGGTGTGGCAGGTGTGTCTGTGCCTCGCCAGGCAGATTAACAGAATGGAGCAGAATTCTTCACCAGTCCCAGGAGGCAAGAGCAACTGCAGATTTGCAGTACTCAGGGCCTTCTGCCTCACTGGCGGAAGACAGCTGAAAAAGAGGCTGGAGAGCAGAGGCAGGGAATCAGCGATCACTGACCACCTCCCTGTGTGCCAAACTTGACCTTGTCCCTGCCCTCAAGGCACTTCCAATCCAGTGGGAGAGGCAGGCACATAAACTCGATATTATGCTGGAGTGTTCAAGCCAGAAGAGAGACCCACATAGGAGCTGACGAAGGCTCCAGGGCAAACGTGCTGAATGCTTGCTGAGGGGCTGGGAAGGCCTCATGGAGGCAGTGTCTGAGCTCAACTTTTGGGAAGGAGCAGGATTCTGCTATATGTTAAAAATGCAAGGTCATTCTGGGCCAACTGATGTGTGCATAGAATGCAAACACCAACTTTAGGATTCTGCATGCTATCTTTTTTTTTTTTTTTTGAGAAGAGTCTGACTCTGTCACCCAGGCTGGAGTGGTCTCGGCTCACTGCAACCTCCACCTCCCAGGTGTAAGCGATTCTCCAGCCTCAGCCTCCCAAGTAGCTAGTACTACAGGTGCATGACACCACACCCAGCTAATTTTTGTATTTTTAGTAGAGACAGGGTTTCACCATGTTAGCCAGACTGGTCTCGAACTCCTGACCTTGTGATCTGCCCAATTCAGCCTCCCAAAATGCTGGAATTACAGGTATGAGCCACTGTGCCTGGCCAGGACTCCATCCTATAATAATAATAATGATAGTTACTTTGGGAGGCTGAGATGGGTGGATTACCTGAGGTCAGGAGTTCGAGACCAGCCTGGCTAACATAGAGAAATGCTGCCTCTACTAAAAATAAAAAAATTGGCTGGGCGTGGTGGTGTGTGCCTGTAATCTCAGCTACTCAAAGGGCTGAGGCAGGAGAATCACTTGAACCTGGGAGGTGATCATGCCTCTGCGCTCCAGCCTGGGCAGCAGAGGGAGACTCTATCTCAAAATAATGATAATTATTATAATGGTAGCTTAAGCCATGTGAAACTACTGTTTTTGAGGGAAAGAGTAGTATAATATTGGCAATTTCCTAGGGTTTGATCTACAACAGTGAGCATTTATTGAGTTCTTTTTTTTTTTTTTTTTTTTTTTTTGAGACAGAGTCTTGCACTGTCGCCAGGCAGAAGGCTGGAGTGCAGTGGTGCGATCTCGGCTCACTGCAACCTCCACCTCCTGGGTTCAAGCAATTCTTCTGCCTCAGCCTCCCGAGTAGCTGGGACTATAGGCACACGCCACCATGCCCAGCTAATTTTTGTATTTTTAGTAGAGATGGGGTTTCACCATGTTGGCCAGGTTAGTCTTGATCGCTTGACCTCATGATCTGCCCGCCTCGGCCTCCCAAAGTGCTGGGATTACAGGTGTGAGCCACCACACCTGGCCTATTGAGTTCTTATGATGCATTGTTCCAAGCGCTTTCCATGTATTGATTCACTGCACCTTTACAAACTACCAAGGAGACAAGTGCTATTATTAGTATTCCATCACACAGGTGAAGCAGTGGAAGCCCAGAGAGGTTAAGTGATGTGCCCAAGGCCACGCAGCTAATAGGAGCCTGCTGCAAGATTTGAACCCTGGCCATATGGCTCTCAAGCCTGCCTGATTCCCCACCACAGTGACAGCTGAACCCAGGGATATAGCGTTGGTCTTCAGTGGGCGAGTGGTAGAACGAGGCTAATGTCACAGAGGGCTGGACATCTCATTCACTAAAGGTTTGTCAGCCTTCTCAGGACATGCTTGTGTGCTCCTCAGCTTTCTTCTCATTTTTTTTTTTTTGCTAAGCTCAACCACACAGTAACAGAATTGGGTGGCAGGTGACAAATTTAGTTACTGCCCTTCAAAACTCCATGACCTAATTTTCCTTGTAGGTCACTAATCCCCTGGTGTCATTATTTAACAAGTTTGTTTTCATCATGGGAAGCTCTTCCCCAAAACCAGCCCAGATATGTGGCTTGCAGTCTGTTTTTGCCCGGGGCTCGTGACGAGCAGGCAGAACCAAGACTGCAGTGACAAGGCAGTGCGGGGAACCAGGAGCAGGTGCCGCGCGCCTTCCAGAGAAAGAGCCTGGTGGCCCCTGTCTCCAGCTAACTACTCACCCAACAAGAGCTTCCAAAGGCTTCCTGTGGGGCAGGTGCTGTGGAAAGCATGGGAAAAACATTGACACTGACATTCTGCCAGCTTGCTGCAAAGAAATAGAAGTCCTCTATGGACTTGAAATGATTTCCAACAGAGGACAGGTTTTCAGTCCAGTGGCATTCTGCGTTTGTAGTGATAACTTTGAAGAAAATTGAAGAACACTTGAGAAACTTGGAACCACAAGGGTATTAAGATGCGTTTTGGGTTTCTTCATTCATGCAATGTCACTCCACCTATTTCCTCAAAAGCTTTGCTACAGGTTTCTGGCCAGTGTCACTGACAGCAGACACTGGAGGGTTTGTTTTCACATTGAGCTCCAGACTGGAACTTCGAGGCAGAGAGAAGGGACTGCTCCTCTCTCCCTAACCCCTCCGCGTCCAGGCCGTGCACCATCTGGCCACACGGTGATCGGAGGGCCAGCTCCGGAGCCAGGCAGCCCGGATTGGGAGCCCAGCCCTGCTGCTGGCCAGCTGGGTGACCTTTGCCTCCTCAGTGGCTCGCCTTTTCTCACAGGTGAAGTGTGGCTGATGCTGATTTTTATTTGGTGGGCCCTTTGTAGCTCTGGATGAGCCCATGCCAGTGCAGTAAGCTTTGGGCGTGAGTGTTTTCAGTTTCACGCTGTTGCTGTCATCGTCCTCATTACCCTCTCTACCTCCTCATACTTCATGCTCCAGCGACGTTGCTTGCCATACCTCCAGATGCCTCATGGACACTCACCCTCCCGTCTCTGCAAGGGTTCCCTTTGCCTGAAATTTCTTCTTCTCCTTCTCCTTCTCCTTCTCCCTCTCCCTCTCCCTCTCCCTCCCCCTTCCCTTCCCTCCTCCCCCTCCCCCCTCCCCTCTCCCCCCTCTCCCCCTCCCCTCTCCCCTCTCCCCTCTCCCCCTCCCCTCTCCCCTCTCCCCCTCCCCTCTCCCCTCTCCCCCTCCCCTCTCCCCTCTCCCCTCTCCCCTCTCCCTTCTCCCCTCTCCCCTCTCCCCTCTCCCCTCTCCCCTCTCCCCCTCTCCCCCCTCCCCTCTCCCCTCTCCCCCCTCCCCCTCCCCTCTCCCCTCTCCCCTCTCCCCTCTCCCCTCTCCCTTCTCCCCTCTCCCCTCTCCCCTCTCCCCTCTCCCTTCTCCCCTCTCCCCTCTCCCCTCTCCCCTCTCCCCCTCTCCCCTCTCCCCCTCCCCTTTCCCCCTCTCCCCCTCCCCTCTCCCCTCTCCTCTCCCCTCTCCCCTCTCCCCCTCCCCTCTCCTCTCCCCTCTCCCCTCTCCCCTCTCCCCCTCTCCCCCCTCCCCTCTCCCCTCTCCCCCTCTCCCCCTCCCCTCTCCCCTCTCCCCTCTCCCATCTCCCCTCTCCCCTCTACCCCTCTCCCCTCTTCCCCTCCCCTCTCTCCCTCCCTCTCCCCTCTCCCCTCTCCCCCTCCCCTCTCCCCCTCCCCTTCCCCTCTCCCCTCTCCCCTCTCCCTTCTCCCCTCTCCCCTCTCCCCTCTCCCCTCTCTCCCTCCCTTCTCCCCTCTCCCTTCTCCCCTCTCCCCTCCCCCCTCTCCCCTGTCCCCTCTCCCCTCTCCCTCTCCCTTCTCCCCTCTCCCCCTCCCCTCTTCCCTCTCTCCTCTCCCCTCTCCCTCCTCCCCTCTCCCCGATGGAGTCTGCTCTGTCGCCCAGGCTGGAATGAGGATGCACGATCTTGGCTCACTACAACCTCCACCTCCCGGGTTAAAGCAATTCTCCTGCCTCAGCCTCCTGAGTGGCTGAGACTACAGGCAGGCAGCACAATGCCCAGCTAATGTTTATATTTTTAGTAGAGACGGGGTTTCACCATGTTAGCCAACTAGTCTTAGACTCCTGACCTCAAGTGATCTGCCCGCCTCTGCCCCTCAAAGGGCTGGGATTACAGGCGTGAGCCACCGCACTCGGCCTGCCTAGAATATCTTCTACCTGCTGCTGGTAAGGTAGATCAAAATAAAAATCAGAGGTAATTCTCCTAGGAACCACCAGTGCTTTGTTTTTATTACTAGATAAGAAGTCATTTAAAATGAAATTTACCAGTCAGAAAAAAAATAGTTTAAGGTCAATAACAATGGCTATCATTTTTTTTTGAATACCTCCCTATTTTTGATTCTAGGCACTATAATAAATACCTCATATGCATGATGTCATTGAATTGTCCCAACAAGCCTTCGAGGTAAATAGAGTTGTCTCTTTGATCTTTTAGATAAAATAAATTAATGTAATCATGGAGGCAGGAAAGAAGCTATGGGGATAACAGAAGGGGGAGAAAAATGCAATCGGCTGAAATAAAATGAGTAAGAGCAATTTTCCTTCTGAGTAATGGCTGCTCCCTCCTTTTTTCCGTGAGTGGCTCTGATGTGCCAGGCACACTCTCAGCTCTGCTGCCTCAATTCTCCCCCTAACGGTAGCAGGCAGGCGGCCCCATTTCACAGGTGAGAATTACGTACAGGCAGATGAAGTACTTGGCCAACATCACACCCAACTATAAAGGGGTAGGCTGGGACTTGAACTCAGAGCCGCCAGATCCCAAAGCTCGTAAGTCCGTTTTCTCTGGAAAGACAGAGGGGAGTGTTGCTCTGGAAATGACCGATGAGGGTCTTTGGGACCAAATCTGTAGGAAGTGCAACCCGAAAAGCTGGGGGGAGAAATGGAACAGAACATTTGTCTGAAGCCATCTGAGAGCTACGAAGGCTGTGAGGACTTGTGGGACCAACATTTTCTCCAGCAAAGCGAGCCGGGCACTTGGGGGACGTATTTCCCCTGGAGGTGAAGGCAGGGTCTGTGCAGGAAAGAGCCAGCTGAGGGGGTGAAAAGCTAAGGAGAGCACTGAGCAGCCCCTTGGAGCCAACAGGGGGAAGGGCTCTGAGATACTCTGCAGGCTTTTATGCCCTAGGAGTGAGCGTGAACAGACCTGCTGAGTACTGGGACTCCTAGTCGGCTCAGCCCTGATGACCTGCCCTGGTCAGAACAAAGGAAGTCCTCTGTGATGGAGATAAACTGTCAGGCCTCAGATTGTCATCAAGCTTTCACACATGACCTCCAGCACACACTCAAAGTCACCAGACCTAGGACGCATTATCTGACCAGAAACAAACATTAAAATCAGATAACAGAAGGAGACTGAGGGTGAAACGGGGCGGGGGTGCTGTTGGGGAGTTGGTTGTGTTCTGTTTCTTGACCTGGTGGTGGCTTTCTGGGTATACAATGCTTGGATAATTTGCTAAGCTGTAAGTGTGTTGTACTTTCAACAACCAAGTTCATTTAGGACAGGCGTCCCCAAACTACGGCCCGCGGGCTGCATGCGGCCCCCTGAAGCCATTTATCCAGCCAACCGCCGCACTTCAGGAAGGGGCATCTCTTTCATTGAGAGGTGGTCAGTGAGAGGAGCACAGTATGTGGCGGCCCTCCAACAGTCTGAGGGACAGTGAACTGACCCTCTGTGTAAAAAGTTTGGGGACACCTGATTTAGGAAATCAGGTGACAGGTGCCTTCTCACCTTCTGAGAATCCAGTTGGGCTGTCTGTGCTGGCCACTTGGGCTCGGGAACAGGCCAGGACTCTGAAGACAACGGGCTTTGGTGGACACTGTCCATTTCAGGATTCAAGATGTATGTCTGAGCTAGAAGGGAAAATTCTCAGTCAAGCCTCCGCCCAGGATCCCAGGCGAAAAGTCTGCAAGACTCTGGTCTCTGTCATAACCTTCTTCACCCTCTAACTGTTCTCAGATCATTCCCAGACCCCACCCCCGGGGCAGAGGCCCCCTCAGATGCCTTTGAGCTCTCCAAGCACCTCATCCACATGCCTCTGATGGTGCTGTCATGAACTTGGGGCATCCCAGAAAACTACCTGCCTGCCTGACCTTCTCCTACCTGGCTGCAAGCTCATTCCAAGCAGGGACCGCCCCCTTGGCAAGCTGGCTTATCTTCGTAAGCCCAGCAACCCCTATGTGGGATCTGGCACACAGCGGCCCTCCAGAAATGTCCAGTGAAAAATAACCCAATCAGTCTAGTACATTTCCTTCTTCAAAAGGAGACAAAGCTGAGCCAGAGAGGGGAGGAGGCTTGCCTGGGGCCACAGGTAGAAAATGAGTGGCTGCGGCAGCGCAGCTAGGATCTGCGCCTCTCTAACCGTGAGAACAGGCGCAGAGTCAGGCTGTAGGGACAGAAGGTGAAGGTAGAGCAGCACAGGCCATCCTGAGGCATCAGGGACTGAGAACAGGTCTCTCTGCTCGTGAGCTGACATCCTGCTTTGGGCCGGGGCCAGATGTTCCAGAGGAAGGTTATATTATTCTTCTCTTTAAAGCATGTATGGCTCAGAGAGGTTAATGAATGCATCTAAGACCACACAGCTGGCAAGAATAGAATCCCGTAATAAGAACCACTAGATGAACAGATCTCAATAGCAGCTTGTCGGTCTTAAAGATAACACCCTCCAGACTTTCGTCACTTTTTTACGGAGAGCCTGATCTGAACACAACACTAAACAAATCCGTCGCACCCCCATACTGAGGGTACTTAGCTGTGCTTAAACAAGGCCCAGTCAAACACCGCCTGCTCCCCCAAAACTACTGAAATAAAACTACAAGTAAAACAAGGCCCAGGAAAACTCTGTCTGGTCAGGTAGTGGCTTAATTTTCTTTGTAATAATGAAAATAGGCCTGGCACAGTGGCTCACACCCATAATCCCAGCACTTCAGGAGGTTGGCGGATCACTTGAGGTCAGGAGTTCAAGACCAGCCTGGCCAACATGGAGTAACCCCATCCCTACAAAAACATAAAACTTAGCTGGGCATGATAGTGGGCGCCTGCAATCCCAGCTACTTGGGAAGCTGAGGTGGGAGAATTGCTTGAACCCGGAAGGCAGAAGTTGCAGTGAGCCAAGATCACGCCATTGCACTCCAGCCTGGGTGACAGAGCGAGAGTCCGTCTCAAATATAAATAAAAATAACGGAAGAACAACAAAAAAAGCACTCATGTTACCATCTCTCCATCTCTCTGGTAACCACGGCTGGTATTTTAGTTACTGTCCTAGCCTAAATTGCAAATCGGACACAGACTTGCACGTGGAATTATACAGTTATGATCATATGAAACACTCCATATCCTAACAATTTTAAACTTAGCAGAACATGGTAATTTCCATGCTGTTGCATGGCGCTTCTCAGGACGTTTTTAATGACTATGTTGTATTTCACTGATTGTATGGGTTCATTGACAATACTGAGGGTTTCCCCCAATTTTTCACTACCATAAAGCACTGGTAGGAACACACCTGTCCACAGAGTTTTCACATACAGAATTATTTACTTAGGATGAGTTTCCGGGAGTGAAACTCTAGTACTGAGGAATTTGAATGTCTGTATGTTTCCAGTATATTCTCTCATTGTGAAATAAGAGGGCGATGCCACGTAGGAAAGGAGGGAGAAGTGGGTCCCGTTCGTTTTAGTAGCACGAACGTGACAGTGGGCATCTCCCCACCTGCCCACCTGTCACAGCGTCCTGCTGGCCTGGACTTTTTCTGAGCACACAGACTTCTCCTGATTGAAAATCACACTGACCTCTTAGAGCTGCTGTCGTCTCAGACTTGACGTCCAGGCGGTGGCTCGTCTGCAAGAAAAGACATCTCGGCAGTTATTCTGCACAGTACTGGAGGGACAGCCTTGCACAGAGGACGGCAATTGGGCCAAGCAGGGCCATCACCCCTCCCCGAAAAAGCTGCATTCTGTGACCAGCTCTGCCCGTGTGCGTGAAGACCTCCCTCCTCTTCTCTCCAGGACGCTCAAAGGAGAACAGGAACTGGTTTTGCTCTTAGGAAACACAGGCACACACACAAAATGATTCTGTTTCCTTTTCTCAAGTTAAAGCTCCAAATGGAGACAGTAAGAAAAGTGTTTTAGAAACTGCCATTTAAAAAAAAAAAAAATTTAATCAGGACATCTGTTGCTCCAGTGTCCCCCTGGGGCCCCTGATTCAATCACCCAGGAATTCAGGTTGGGCTTGAACTTAAATGCACCACCTGCACCCCACCCCCCGCACAGACCAGCATCCTCCTCGTCCCGCAGTGCACAGGGCAGGTGGGAAGTGAGACGGCTGTGATCATTCAAGGTCATTCAACTGGTTGGCCCAGAGGCCCCCGAGTGGTTCAGCAACAGCAACTTCTGGATCTTCAAGGTAGATTCGAGTTGTTTTCAGACCAGCATTCTGGATCTTGCTTTCTCTTGGGTGTTTCTGATGGGGCAGGGGCCGGCGTGCAGTGCTGCTGTGGTAAGTGTCTTCCCTGTCTCCACTTCCAACACCTGGTCACGCTCATCCTCTGGGTATAGGAGGCCATCTCTATGCCTGGAAGGGCCCTGCCCTTGCTGTCTGTCTCTAACGAACTTCTACGTAGATGTCAAGGCCCAAATTCAAATGTCGCCTCCTCTGTGAAGTCTTCCCTGACTCCACCTGGCAGAGTTCAGCCACCTGCCTCTCACATGGCCCCTCCTGTGCTGCAGTGACACCTGGATTGACTGGTGCACTGCCTAATCCCCAGGGACCTGGGTTATGACTCAGCCTCTTCTGGCAGTGACTGGACCACAGCAGCACTCGTGGGGGTCTTTGCTACCAGGCACAGTGCCTGCTCCTGAACTGTGCTCTTAGAAGACTTTGTTGCAGCCCCTATCAACACTGTTGTGTCTTCAGGCACCACGGACTTTCCCACCCCCATGCCTGTGCCCACGCAGGCCTTGCAGCCTTGAGACCTTCATTCCATCCTTCCAACTGTTAAATCCTGCTTTTCGGCCTTCAGGGCCCCGCCTGAGTGCTTCCTACTTGTGGGAAGCAGAAAAATTTCTCTCTAAAGTTTCCTTTCTTAAGAATAAGCGTGCTAATAACTCTTTGTGAAGCTCTATTCTATGTAGCTGTGAGACATGCTGTGCTTACAGGCACATAGCACATTCTATGTCCTTGTACTTTAACCGAGATATCTGTGCTGGACGTGCTCACAGGCATGTCCCAGCTCTCCACTGCTTTTCCCTGTTTAGAAGAGTTTTAAGTTGTTAGCCAATCGGGTTTTAGTTTAGATTGTGAGGTCTGACTCCAACCAATGGAGATCAGACACAGCAGTAAGGACGACCCCAAATGCATAAGGAACAAATACGTTTGTTTTTCCTTTGTTCATTGCACTCTTGCGGCAAGACGGCTGGCGAGGATACCCTGCTTGTACTTCAGGAAGTAAAAACTGCACTGCTGAAAGATTCTTTGTCTCAGTGCCGATTTTTCTTTGTGGCACCGAGCATCTATTTCCAACACTATTCCAGAAAGCATATCCCCCAATAAATCTCTCTCCTCTCTCCTTATTTCCAGTGCTTCAGATGAATGCCTTTTATAACCCCTGGGTTTAGAGTCAGGTATCTCCTCATTAGATAGAGGCTCCTTCAACTTGAGAATGAGGTTTCATTCACCTTCATGGAGGATACACTGGCAGAGTAGCCTAAAGCTCACTAAACTGACTTCTGGGTGGCCCTGCATTCTGTATGTGATTGAGGTGAAAGGACCCTTTTCGGCTTCCAGCTCCTCAACTGTCCCATCGGCCTGGGGTGCTGCAGAGCTGGGCTTTCTCAGGTTGAGTCCTGGCTCTGCCACTCGCTGGTTCCATGATCCTGGCCACGTCAGTTGAATTCTCTGAGCCTCACCCTCTCCATCTGCAGAACGGAAATACAGTACCAATATGTTCTTTGCAGGGTTCTGCCAGAATGAGATGAGAAGGAACATCTACTAAATGCCAGCGGCACAGAGCGGGGGACAGATGAAGATGTGTGCTAAGCTCTCCCAAGCCCTGCCTCTCTTCCCCACGCAAACTTTTAGGGAATATTCTACATTTCATAAAAGGCAGGAGTTAAAGAGAAGGTAATTGCCTGGATCCTTGGAGGCCTGAGCTTGGGGATTGCTGATTTAATGAATTGGGGGAATTCAGGGCTGTAAGGGACAATTCTTCAATCGTCTGAGTATGACAGCTCCTTCTTTAGCCCAGCTTCCTTTTCCAAAGGCCACATATAGATCTCACTGACAAACGCCCAGAGGAAAGTGGGAGGCGGCAGGAGGAAGAAGAAGCCGCAGGGCGAGAGGAGGTAAAATTAGCATCTTCTTTACTAGGTCACCCACCTCTTTGCCCCGACCGACCGGACGACCCTCCCCTGCTAGTGCGACCAAGGCCCCTTGCTGCTCCCAGGGGAACAAAACTGGGTTTTGCTTGAAGGTGCCCCAAATGCTGCTGGGTGCCTGTGTGTGACAGGTGCTGTGCCAGGCATTTGATGTGGAGTCTTATTCAAACCTCACAGAGCCCCACGGGGGACAGCAGCCCCCACCTGGCCTAAGACGACAGGTGGCTCAGGGAGGTGAAGGGCAAGGGTCAAGTTCATGAGATGGGTCATTATTTAGAATCAGGGTGTCATTGTCTGCAGGTGAATCTCTGTGCCCAGAGAGAGGACAGAAGACAACTCCTTCGGGAGCACAGGAAGCTCAGGAGTTCTCTGTTTTCTGATGGGACTTTACACCTGTGGAGTGGACCCCAGGCCAGACCCTAGGGGTGGGCAGGACCCAGCTGCCACCTTAGCCAGTGCTGTGTCCCAGGAGATCCCAGGCACACCTCTTCTCATCTCCTTTGGTACCTGGACCTCTGCCTCCAAAGTCTCAGGGGTGGAGTAGCGGGACCATGTCACCAAATACAACGTGTCTCATTTCGGGCTTGTGAATATCAAGAGCCTAGATCCAGGCAAAACACAGGGGAGAACAAAGCAAAACAAAGCCAAACCCTGGGGCTAGGGGTCAGGGGAGGATTGGAGAGGAAGCAAAACAGGCCCAAGAAGGTGCGCTGAGCCCTGCTCACTCAAGGCGTAGCGGGGAACAAGGTAGAATTAAGAACTCCAGAGAGGTTTTAGGAGTCTGAGACTGGCAGGAGCCTGCCTTCCCCATCTCTGGCTAACACCAGGAGAGGCAAGACTCGCGCTCCTAGCAGAAGAAAGAGTGACCTCTGCCATGGCCAGTCTGACCCCCTGGGATTCTCCCCACCCCCAGAGCAGGCACCTGAGCTGGAGAGAACCAGCAGAGCAGGAGGAAGGAAGCTAGGGCGGATACAAGGGTGACCAACGAATGCCAGTGACCTGAACAGCACAACAGCAGATGCCAGCACAGACGGCGGTGCCAGGACCCGTGGCCCCCAGCCCATCGCCACATGCCTGCAGGAAGAGCACTGGAGCCAAACCGTCTGAGGCTCCATTTCCACTGCCCACCCAAACCAGGGTGAGATAAGGACATGGAAAGGCAAAGACTCAGTGAAGTGCAGGGAGGGGAGGTGGTCCCTGGCTGCTGCCTGCATGGGCACCAGGCCACACCACCTCCTCCTGAAAGGGCAGAGCTCAATGGTCTCAGCCCCAGGCCCAGCACCCACCCGTCAACAGCCCCGGGACATGCTGAGGCTCAGGGTCCCCGTGGAGCCTTGCAGCAGGATGCTGGGGGTTGGAGTAAGCAGATCCATGGAAAGCTTGCGAGGGGGTGGGCAGCGGGAGCCTTGGCCGTCATGGCTTAGCTGGATACATGGTCCTTTGCTGCTCTGGCACGTCCCACCTCAAGCCGATCAGTCTCCCCAGCCATCCTCATAGCCATCCTGGGCTCCCAGCCAGAGCCCAAAGGCTTCCATCGGGAAATCCATCTGTGTCCTCTGAATCGAGAGTTACTGCCCATCGAGCAAGCAAGCAGCACTGGACACGCTTCCTGCCCAGCTACCAGTAGGAGGAGCTGCCAGTACCACTCCCACCCTGCTCTCCACTAACTAAAGGATCAACATGCAGACCCCAGGAGGGCACGGGTGCCTGTGGCCTCCCGTCCAGCCCAGCCTCCCCCCGCTCCTCCCCGTGGCCTCCCGTCCAGCCCAGCCTCCCCCCGCTCCTCCCCGTGGCCTCCCGTCCAGCCCAGCCTCCCCTTGCTCTTCCCCGTGGCCTCCCGTCCAGCCCAGCCTCCCCCCCGCTCCTCCCTGTGGCCTCCCGTCCAGCCCAGCCTCCTCCCATTCCTCCCTGTGGCCTCCCGTCCAGCCCAGCCTCCCCTCACTCCCCACCTGGGGACCACGCTGCAGCCAGCCTGGAGCTCTCTTAACTTCTGAAACACATCACATATTTTTTTCACTTTCACAAGGTCTGGCAGGGACACCCTGGTCCTTGGAAGCATGTCCAGGCCCAGAAGCCCATCCTTACAGGAGATGGATGGGTCTGTCCGATGACATCATTGTAACAACTCTCCCTGTTCTCATTCTAGGCTCCCAAGTGATCGATGAAGAAATGAATGAAAAAATTTGATTTTCCAGATAATGACAGGGAGAGAATATGCTGACAATTTTCAACCATTTAGCAGATACTTCAACCTGCGTAATAGTTCTATTTCTCGTAGGAAATTTAAAAATTAATGTTCTGGTGTATACATCATTCTCTATGAGTTTGGTTATTGCAAGTCAGCCTATCCAAACCCAGTGAACATTTCAGTTCTAGTTCCAGGGCCTATGAGAGTGAGGAGCAGCCGTTAGAAGGTGGGCAGCTACTAGGATGCCCTTCAGCACACAGCCAGCTGGCTTTCCAGGACGACACCTGCTGCATTTAATGTTTGATACTTTGACAACCTGGAACTCTGCTTTCAACTGTATCTCACTTAACTCCCGGTTATTGGGCCCCTAGCGGATCCCAGGGACAAGGCAGGCACTTCAGTGAAATTCTGCCCTCTTTTCTCACCCCTATTCTAGTACTGAAACAGTCTTCCACCCCTTGGGCAAAGAGAAGAGCAAGAGACTGGGAGTCTGGGGCTCTGAATTCAAGTTCCGGCTCTGAACCGAGTCAACAAATGGCCCTGAACGTGCCTCTTGGCCTCCAGGCCTCCATCTCTGCTGTGCAATGATTTGGACCAGAGGGCACCTCTGAAGGCTGTGAGGGAAAAGAAGGGTCAGAGGAGGCTGGCCTTGCAGAGACCAGGCTGGGCAGAGCTGCAGAGGGAGACTCAGACCTGGTGCCAAGGGGCCAAGGGCAAGCCCCATAGGCAGAGCCTGGAGGGAGTGTGGAAAAGAGCCCCGTCTGCGTTTGCCATGGGAGCTGTGTCTCGCCTGTGCGCATAAGGAGCGGAGCTAGGGTGGCGGGGCACTGCTGGCTTGCTGCCAAAGGGGGCTCCTTGTACGTGTGTGGGCAGGCGTGGCTGGGCACCCGTGGGTGCCGACTGTAGTCAGGAGAACTCATCCCGGCTTGCACTGTCTGGAGCACATCTCCTAACCTCTCTGGCCTCCGTTTCCTCTTTTGTTGACCAGTGGGAGAGGAGATTCTCATTCATTTGGTTCATTATTTCATTCGCTCATTCAACACACATTCTTCCAGGTTTGTTGCAGATTCTCAGAGCCAGGCACTGGGAAGACAAAGAAGGCTACGGAGCAGCTCTGGAACCACAAACTCCTGCAACAGCGGGGAGACTCCCTGCTCATGCCCGTCACGCACTTCCACGTACAATGGAGCACAGGGGAGGGTGTGGTTAACTCTCTGGTCTGCAGGGTTCACAGCGGGCTGTCTGGGCAAGATCACACCTGTCCTTGACGGATGGACAGGAGGTTGTGAGTTGACTGAGGCAATCTGCCAGAGGAAGGGCCAGTGCATAGGTCCCAGGGCACGCACTAAAGACCCATCTTGTGACACACACCCAATGAAGCTTGTATGACCCTGAATTAAGATTACTGTTTGTGGCTGGGCGCAGTGGCTCATGCCTGTAATCCCAGCACTTTGGGAGGCTGAGGTGGGTGGATCATGAAGTCAGGAGATAGAGACCACACTGGCTAACACAGTGAAACCCCCTTTCTACTAAAAATACAAAACTAGCCAGGCGTGGTGGTGCATGCCTGTAATCCCAGCTACTCAGGAGGCTGAGGCAAGAGAATTGTTTGAACCCGGGAGGCAGAGGTTGCAGTGAGCCAAGATCACGCCACTACACTCCAGCCTCAGAGACAGAGTGAGACACTGCCTTGAAAAAAATAATCACTGCATCTGTGCCCTGCACCATTTCCTGAGAACTTTGAAGGGTAAGGGTTGCCAGATACACCTTCCCATGTTCACCCAGGGCACCAGCACCAGCATAGGGGAAAAACCAGGGGGTGTCTTCTTGGGTAGTATCTGTGGATGGAGGGAAGGAGGAAGGAGGGGCTGTTGGGGCCAGGCAGAGGCATGCAGTGGCCCTGCCCACACCCTGGTAGGAAGCAGGGACAGGGCCATCTCTGGGGCTCTACCTCTGGGACGCCGGGATCCAGGAAGGCGGCCACGTACTCAGCCAGTGCCACGTCACCGAGCATGTTCTGTGCCAGCTCAGAGAGCAGAAGGTCCACCGGCCCGTGTCTGTGCAGCTCCTGCAGCAGGCGGGTGATCAGGCAGTTCCTCTCCCGGCACTTATGGACCAGGGAAGCTACCTTGGCCTGCAAGGGAGAGAGGCCATGGATGCAGAGCTGCCCCCAGGGCTGCATGGCTGAGCTGGGGGCTGGGAGCCAGAGAGTCAGCCGAGGCCCCTACTTACCATCCCAGCTCTGCCTCAGCTCAGCGGAGCAGCCTCCTCCCTGCAATGCCTCCGCGCCCCTAGAAGCCGGGATGCTTTCGGAGCAGACTCCCACACGCCTCCAGGAGCTCTGCACTGCCCTCCCCATGGGGTCTAGGCTCAAGGCAGCAGGGGGTCAAGAGCGTGGATTTGGGCTCCACCACGGACCAGCTCTGTGAGCAAGCTCCCCTCCACACCTCCACTTGCCGTCTGTACAATGGGGTTGTCCCGGACACCAGAATAAAAAGAGATGGTGCTGGCACGTGCCCACCCAGTGTCCTGTTTCTATCCTTATCTCATATTTCCGTAGCACGTTGTAAAGGATTATGGTCTTCATTTAAAGAAATGCTCCGCAGCAAAAGGTGGCCCCAAGAGGGAGAAGAGAAGCCTTGCCCTGCGGGAGCTTCACAGTCCACTCTGCACCTTCCCAGCTACCGCGTCTGCAGGGGTGCGGCAGGAATTATGACAATTTTTATTTTACTGGCACCAACTCGAGGCTCAGACAGACAGAAATGTGGGGTGGAAAGTGACTTTCGGAACTGTGTGGCTCACGTTTCTGATTTGATGGCTGAGGAAACTGAGACCCCAGAGGGAGGATGACTCTGCAGGTCAGAGGGAGCGCCCCGGCGTAACCAGGTTCTGCTGATGCCCAGCCCAGGGCACCTCCCTCTCCACTCTGCCCTGAGGCCAGAGAAAAAGAGCAGAGCTCCCAGCTTCTCCCCTGATCCAGGCCCATGTTCGAGATGAAATGTTACCTTAACCAAATTCCGTGTCCTGCTAGCAAAGAACATATAAAACCCTGTGGACCACTAACGACATTTCCAGGAACTGATCTTAAACATAAATGTCTAGATACTTGGAAAAAAACCTGAGAAAAAATGTACACCGGCCAGGCAGATGGCTCACGCCTGTAATCCCAGCACCTTGGGAGGCTGAGGCGGGCAGATTACCTGAGGTCAGGAGTTTGAGACCAGCCTGGTCAACATGGCAAAACCCCATCTCTACTAAGAATACAAAAATTAGCCAGGCATGGTAACGCATGCCTATAATCCCAGCTACTCGGGAGGCTGAGGCAAGAGAATCGCTTGAACCCAGGAAGCAGAGGTTGCAGTAAGCCGAGATCACACCACTGCACTCCAGCCTGGGAGCAAGATTTCATCTCAGAAAAAAAAAAAAAAAGAAAGAAAGAAAGAAAGAAAGAAAGAAAAAAAAAAAAAAGTGCTTCACAGTGTTTATATACAATTAATGATAGCGATAGAAAGGAAGGGGCTTGAACACAGAGCGTGGGGGTGGTGATTTTATGAACCAAGGCGTCTCGCACTGCACCCCGGCATCAACAGTGCAGCCTTGAAGGCTGGGACCCAGGAGAAGTGCTCTCCTAGGTCACCCCATCAAGTGGGAGCAGCAGGGGGCAAATGCACAGGCATCGTGGCTCTCAAACACATGGGAAATATATTGGAGAAAAAGACATGGAAATGCTATGTGCAGGTAGGGGCTGGGGTGCTGCCTGTCTCCTTCATTCATTCTTCTTTCCAGCTTTTTTTTTTTTTTTTTTGAGACAGAGTCTCATTCTGTTGCCAGGCTGGAGTACATAACGTGATCTCAGCTCACTGCAACCTCTGGCTCCCAGGTTCAAGTGATTTTCTGCCTCAGCCTCCCAAGTAGCTGGGATTACAGGCATGCGCTACCATGCCCAGCTAATTTTTGTATTTTTAGTCCAGCCGGGGTTTCCCCATGTGGCCCAGGATGGTCTCAATCTCTTGATATTGCAAGTCGCCTGCCTCGGACTCCCAAAGTGCTGGCATGACAGACATGAGCCATCGTGCCCAGCTGTTTTGTCTGTTTTTGAGTCAAGATTTTGCTCTGTTGCACAAGGTGGAGAGCAGTGACATGATTTCGGTTTGCCGCAGACTTGACCTCCTGGGCTCAAGCAATCCTCCCACCTCAGCCCTCCCAAGTAGCCGGAACTACAGGGGCATGCTACCATGCCCGGCTAATTTTTGTATTTTCTGTAGAGATGGAGTTTTGCCATGTTGCCCAGGCTGGTCTCATACTCCTGAGCTCAAGCAATCCGCCCACCTCAGCCTCCCAAAGTTCTGGGGTTACAGGCATGAGCCACTGCGCCCAGCCATACCTGAATTTTTATACAATAGAGGCAGATTACATTTCTAACGGAAAAAATACTAAACTCGCTTTTGTTTTGAAAGAGGCGTTTCGTATTGATTTTATGAACGTATTACCTTCAGGGGAGTCACCGCCAACTGTGCTTCGTGTTGTTTTCTCTGAAGTTCTTCAAGCTGAAATAGAAGCAATATTTTTTATAACACTGCTGCACCACTTACCACCATCCAGGGCTTCCCCCAGTGAGCCCGGCTCGGAGCGGCTGGCAGTCACCTGCCCTCTTTACCCTCATGGGGACTCAGTGCCGGGAACAGGGGCCTTTCCCACCACCTGCCTGGCAGGATCAGGGGAGGTCTGATGCTCTGAATACCCAAGAGTCAGCTCTGCCCAACTGCAGTGGCCGGGGCCAGCTCCGGGCCCTCTTCTGAGTCCCCACGCAGAGCAGCAATTTTCTGGTCTTGTGGTAAACGTACAAGTTCCTGAGCCAGACACCAGGGGTTCTAATCCCGGCTCAGCCAGTCACTGGAACTGAGGTCTTGCACAAGGTTTTCTCCATCTGCCTCAGACTTCTCATCTGTGAAGTGGGCTCATACGAGTGCCCACCCACTGGTGAGAACTGTAGTGAGGATTCGGGGAACAAATTCATGTAAAGTGCTTAGAACAAGCCCTAGCACCGGACCTGTCAGTGACCAATAAACTAATGTTACTATTAGGTGCAGATGAAAGCTGGATGCCGATTCTTTGAGACTGCTCCCTGTGGAGGGGGTTCCTAGCTCCCTACCTCTGATCTGGGCTGACCTGAGATTCCTTGACTCATAGAACGCAGCCCGGCTTTGAAGAGGACTGGCAGCTTTGGGTATCTTGAGCCAGGATTTAAGAAGTCCCAGTGCGCTTTGGGGAGACCACGAGACACGACAGAGAAAAGGGAAGGCACTTCCGCCACCCTGCACATGAGTGAGGCCAGCGGGGACACCCAAGCCGACCTGGCGTCCAGCCGGACACCATGGAGTCATGGCCACTGATCCCTTGGAGGGCAGAATAGCCTAACAGTCTTGTCTGAATTCCTGGCCCATAAGATATAACAAAACAGATGCTGTGTAAGCTCTTCTAACTCTCTCATTCCCCTTGTAGTCAGTTAAAACAAAATAAAAAGCTATATAGATAAAAGGCCCCTTTCTCACCCCCAACCTCTTCTGACATCTAGTTTTTTTCAACCCAGGATACTCATATGAATCAGAATGTGTGTATATGAAATTATACTGTGCGAAAGGTTTTGGATCTTACTTCATTGTTAAATATGCAAGATTTTAAAAGAATGAGATCAGTTTGTATGTGATGAAACAAAAATTTTTGTGCTATCTTCATACTAATGCATAGAAGCTGAATTCATTCTTTTAAAATCTTGCATATTATTTAATCACAAAGCTGAAACAAAATTGATCTAACCAGTACTTTGTTTATGGAAATTTGTATTATTTCTATTTTTTTTGTTTTAGAAACAAATCTTCAATGAATAGTTCCATATATCGATTTTGGCACAACTTTCCTGGTATATTCAGAGTAAAATCCTAGCTTTAAGCAGACTGTCTTATATTCAAAAGGCACTCAATCATATTTGCAAGCTTGGATTAAACCTTCTGCCTGCTTCAGTTTAGGAAATAGCATAAATATGCCACAGTGAGAAATGTATTGGGCATTTGCAATGAAAAAATGAATGAGAAGAAATTAAAAAGATAACCTACAGAACTGGAGGAAATACTTTCAAATCATATATCTAATAAAGGACTTCTATCTAGAACATAAAACTCTCACAACTCAACAAAAAAAGAGTTAATTAACCCTATTAGAAAAATGGGGAGGACTGGGCATGGGGGCTCGCGCCCGTAATCCCAGCACTTTGGGAGGCCAAGGTGGGTGAATCACAAGGTCAGGAGTTCAAGACCAGCCTGGCCAAGATGGTGAAACCCAGTATCTTCTCTACTAAAAATATAAAAAAATTAGTAGGGCATGGTGGCGGGTGCCTGTAATCCCAGCTACTTGGGAGTCTGAGGCAGAGAATTGCCTGAACCAGGGAGGTGAGGTTGCAGTGAGCCAAGATCGTGCCATTGCACTGCAGCCTGGGCGGCAGAGCGAGACTCCATCTCAAAAAAAAAAAAAAGAAAGAAAGAAAGAAGAAAGAAAAGAAAAATGGGAAGAATCTGAATAAACGCTTCCTTAAATAAGACATACAAATGGTCAATATGCACATGAAAAAATGTTCCACATTATTAGTCATCAGGAAAATACAACTCAGAACCAGTGAGAGACAATTTCCCACTAACTAGGATGTCTAGAATAAAAAAGACAGCTAGTAGCAGATGTTGGCGAGGGTGAGAAGTTGGAACTTTCCTACACTGCCGGTGAGAAAATAAAATCGATTTATCAGAGACACTCTGCCTCTTTAAAGCAACTGTGATTGAGATGTTCAAGAATTACATTACAAAAATTTCCTCCTAATCCTGGGAGCTACGAAAAAGAATCATAGGGAAATTCTAGACCTGCAAAATAGACTAACCGAAATGAAAAACTAATGTGAGTTTAAGAGCAAATTTGATTCATCCAAAGAGTACTTTTAGCTGGAAGAGCGATTCGAAAGAAACATCGAAACTGAGCAGAAAGAAAAAAGAAAGAAAATAATTTAAAATGTACTTAAAGTCTAATTCACGTGTAACTGAAGTTTCCACACACCCCTCCCCACAGGCCAGTGAGAGTTAAGAGAAGAAAGCAAGACTAGCTCTTTTGTTCGTTGAAGATGCAGTGAACAAGACACACTCATTTATCGCTGGTGGCGTGGATGTGGGTACCACTACTTTGGAAAGCAATCTGTGGTATGCAGCTACGGATCAACAATATTGTCACCTTTGGAGCTGGGTGTCCCAGTCTGAAGTGTCATATATAAACGGTTACCTGTAAGTTCATAGAAATAGCTACAGATGCAACAATTGGGAAACAGTTAAGGAAACCACATCGACCCGATAGATGACTCCACAGTCAACAATCAGACGAACAGTAATAGATAACTACACAGTCAAACAATCACACATACGAAGACTATGCAGCCACATGGACGAATGCACATAAAGCTCTACATGTTACAAACAACACATGGGCAAAGAGCCAGAAATTATACCGTAACACTGAGGCTGTGTTTTTCATCCATCAGCTTGTCCAAAAATTGTAAAGTTGCTAACATTCAGGGTAACACGTTATGGGCAAACGAGTGGACTCATTTCATCTTGGGAGTAAAAATGATGCTACTATTTTGGAGGGTTATTTGCTATTAACTCTTACAGTTAATTGTGTATATATATATATCTCCTTTCTTTTGTTAGAATTTTGCCATTTAGATATACAGCAGAAGCATATGCCGAGAGAGAGATAAAAATGTTAATTGAAGCTGTGTTTGTAATGCGAAGAAAGGGTAACGCCTTGAACTTCCACAAACAAAAAATGGACTAAATAAGTTATAATTTGGCCTCATGATGACATAATACATATGATTTTAAAGGAATGAGGTCACTTTGTATGTGATGATACGAAAATACCACAACGTTCTTAGCTAAGCGACAAAATCAAGATGCTGAATAGTTTTGTACAGCATAACTTCAAACGTGTACACGTACACATTCAGAAGGCGGGCAGATAGGGTTGAAACAATATTGGAAGTCAGAAGAAGTTGAGATTGAGGAAAAGGAAAGCTTTTATATTTTTTATCTTAAAAAATTTAGATGACTAAGATTTGGATATAATTGTAAGAAATAATAGAGAGAGCTCTCTTGTAAGTGGTTTTTTGAGACAGGGTCTTGCTCTGTTGCCCAGGATGGAGTGCACCCTTGTACAATTTGCCCAGTTTCCCCCAGTGGGAATATTTTGCGAAACTATAGTGTCAAATCACAACCAGGAATTAAAATGGATGTAATCCACTGATCTTATTCAGACATCTCCAGGTTTACACGTGTGTGTGTGCGTGTTAAGTTCTGTGCAATCTGGTACCTGTATAGGTTTGAGTCTCCACCACTCACTTCTTTCCGACAGAGGAAAAGTGTTTGACCTTTATTTATATGACACTGTAAACCTGCTTGACTTTTTAAAGAAATCATATTTGTGTATTTTTTAAATTTCACAGAGAAGGTATGATAAAGCCTGTGTTTTTCTTCCTGGTACTGTCCTATACTTTAAAAATCCAGTAGCTGCTTCCAACTGGCTGGAAAGGTCAGGGAGACCTCAGCCGATCCTTGTCCACTCCCAAAACGCCCCAGGGTGTGGGACCCTGGCTGACAAGAGGTGAGAAGAAAGCGCTTCCCGAACCTTGGCCTGGAGCTCCTCCTGGAGACGGGTGGCCTCGTCCCGAGATGCCTGGTGGGTGGCGCCCAGGTCCCTGAGCTGGCACTGTAAGGTCAGTACCCGGTGATGGAGCTGCCGGGCACGCAGCCTGTGACCCTCCTCAGTACCCTCAGCCTCTGAGTCCTGGAGCTGCGGAAAGCAGATTTGAATGAAATTTTCAGGTTATCTTCCAAGCAATTTGCCTTAGCCAACAAACTGTACCTGTTTCCCCACTCTTGAGATTTTTTTCCTCCCACTTACATTTCTCTTACAGTAAAAAAAGTTTCAGAAAATAAAGTAGCAGAAATCACTCTCAATCCAATTATCCTGCAGCACGTTTGTTATTATCCATAGATTTTCTGCAGACTTCCTGCTAAGCCCCTCACCATGTGCATGTATAGGAGTGGGTGGTTCTGCTTGGTTTCCAGAGGGGGACGTTGGGGAGGGTCTGGAGAGCCCCAGAATAACAGCCTGGAATGTTATCTTCAAAAATATGTGCAGTGGGGTGGCATTCCAGAATCCCCTGGAATAGATACCAGTCACTCTTATGCTGGAAGTGTGATGAGCGAAACTGAATGTCCCAATCAAATTAGGAGATGCTTATTACCCTAAAACTTAATATATTATATAAAACAGAAGATACCATATCTCCCGCAGGTACTTTTCCCAAATCAATGCACAATTGCCTCTCACTTTTCCTGAATCTAAGGTGAGGGTAGCGGGTTCAGATGCCATTCAGATGCCAAAGGGAATTTCTGGGAAGGAGACAGCGAGAGGGAAGAGGCTGACTTCACCTCGTGGGAAGTGTGGTGAAATGGCAGAGGTGCTACTGCCCCCGAATGGTTTTGAAGTCTAAATTCTTATTTTTTAAATAACTCACACACATATGCACACACCAACATACATAAACATATACTAACACATAGTTTTCTATATAAACTTTAAAATACGATACATGTCTTTTGTTTCCTGATTTTCTCCCGTAACACTGTGTCCTGGGCATTTTTCCATATTACCAAATAATGTTGCAAATGCTATTATTAGTATCTACACAGCCTCCTGTGGCCATGCTGAGCGCTCAAATTATTCTAATATTTTGCCGTTGTAATTGGAACTGTGACAAAGGTCCTTGTGCATAAATACTTGGACATACCTCTGATGCTTTACCTGAGATCATCGGGGGGGATTTCTGGGTCAAACAACATGAGCATCTTGAAGCTCTTGGTTTATGCTGCTAAGGTGGTCTTAGAAGGGAACAGCACTGCTAAAAGTTCCATTTATGACGATTTAGGAACCCAGAAACTCGGATGCTTCTCAAACACCCTCCACCTTATGATGGCGGTCCTCCTTTCCTTTAAGTCAGCTTCCCTGGGAATTGTAAGGCCCCAAAACTGGTCCCAGCCGAGTGGGAGTAGGTAGGAGGGGGAATGCCGGGCCACCCTGCTTGGGAACGAGAGAGAACGGAGAAGAGGAGAAGGAAGGACCCAGGTGACTTCATGGCTGCTGGGCATCTCTCTTGTAATAAAATATACAATAGTAGAAGAGGATTTTTTAATTAATAGAAATATACACCACGTGGGCCTGAGATGCACAGGCTGGGCCCTGTCAAGAACAGATGGGTGCTCCGAGTGGTCCCATAAAATTCAGCTCCAAGATTTCAAAACAACTTGGCCTTTCTGGGAAGTACGTTTCCTCCTCTGCCTCCCTCCCCTGGCAGTGACTTGGACCGGGGCTTTGCCCCATGGGTCCTCAGAGAGCACCCAAGTATCCTCTAAAGAGAATGGCCCTGTGGGTGGGGCCAGCCTGCTGTCCCATGGGACCTCCTCACACAGCAGCCCCGTGAGCTGCCCAGCGAGTCTCCTGCTCTCTAGCAGACATCATGAGCGCATGCACTGGCTGCACGCTGGCCTGAGATGACAGTCGTGACGCTGCCCTCCAGGAGCTCAGGCTGGTGGGGACAATGACAGGCAGGTGTTCGACATTCAATGCAGCCTGATAAAGGGGAGTCAGGAGGCTGTGACCACCTGAAGGGGGCGCTGAACAGAGACCTCATCCAGCTGCGGGGTGGCAACTGTACAACCACCACATTCTGGGTTGGGGGGACAGTATCAATCTGTAGCATTTGCCAATTTCCATGGTGTGAATGTTCCCACCATAACTGACTACAAGCTACCAAAACAGCCTCACTGAAGGCAGAGTTGAGAGGAGACACACACGGGTGGGCTCTGACTTGTCTCTGCACAGAACCCAGCCTGGGGGTTGGGGGGAAGCTTTCTGGAGGAGACGCCTCCCCTAACAGGAGACCTAGAGGAGAAAGCTGGGTGCAGGGAGGGGTGGATGAAGAAGGTGAAGGAGGAGGGCAGAGGTGGCAGCATGGCGTGTGGAGCTGGGGTGTGAGTAGGAACAGCGGAAGCTCCCCGAGGGCCTCAGGGGCCAGAGCATTGCTCATTGTAGGAAGTCGGGATCTCATGCCCAGTGCAGTAAGAAGCCACAGAGGGTTTTAGGTAAACGAGTAACACGTCAGGTGGTGGTGACTTCCTGTTTGTCACCAAGTCCCATGGATTCCAGCTCCAGTTTTCACTCCAAATTCCTCAATCCCAGTGTTAACTCTTGGCTATCCAGCCACCAACTCCTCTCAAGTGTTCTCCTTTAATTCACCCGAACCACTGTTATCAGAGCAGACAGATTTTTTCACAGTATAAACTGGGTCACATCATTCTGCTCAAAACCCTCTGATGGCTTCCTACCACAGCTAGAATAGATTCAAACGAGGGCCTGTGAGCCTCCTGTGACCTGCCTTGTGACAACTTCTCCAGCCTCATCTCACACCACACCCCTCCTTGCCCACTGGGATCCAGCCACAATGGCGACTTTCTGCTTCTTCAGTGAGCCAGCCTCTGTCCTGCCTCAAGGCCTGGCCACTTGCTTTTCCCTCTGCCTGGAATGCTCTTCCTTGCTGCTCCTTTCTAACCTTCAAAGTATCAGCTCAATATTCAATCCTCAGATTTCTGCACTCTTACTCACTGGTATTGGACAACTATAAAATCTGGGGAGAATATATACAATTAATGCTTTGCAGGCATTGGAAGATGACCAGTGCAAAACCGTGATCCTTAAGAAAAAGCATGCACTACAAGGCAGGCTCCACATTTTGCCCAGATCTCTCTCTGAAACATTTTCCAAACAATGGTTCTGAAAATAAGAGCCCAAGCTGAGAGTGGTGGTCCTGTTAGGTGGAAAAATAGAGCTTGGAGTTTAGGGATGCTAAGACTTCTGGGGTTTCTGGGACAAAGTAAGAGGGACGAGAGGGCTGCAGAGAAAAAAAGTCCAAATACTGTTTTAGAAATGCCCCTTGGGTCCTTGGCTGAATCATATGGCACAGTAGAAGACTCTAAACCCTGCAAAGAACAGCAGCTTGGAGGTTAATTGGTGACAAGACATCACAGGTCATACACTTCTGAGAAGGTGGCAGAGTTCTGACCAAGCCAAAATAGAGAGGACTTGGTGAAAGCTGTGGAACTCAGCTGATGTCACTGAAAGGCGATGCCCTAAGAGCAAGGACCACACCTTAGGAGTCATATCAAGCCCTACTAGTCTGAGGGCAAAGCTTAAACAGGCCTACATGAGAATAAGATGATCTGCTGATCATGCAACTAGCTGCCAGAATAAAATTCACTCAGCATTCTTTGGGGAAAGATAATCATCAGGAATCTTCATAACATATTATGCACAATGTCCAATATATGAGTTTTTGAAGTTCCTAGATATGAAGAAACAGGAAAGTGTGACTGTCACCAAAATAGTCAATAGGAGCAGACAAAGAGATGATCCAAATATTGGAGTTATCAGCAAAAAACGGCCTTCAAAATAATTATGATCTGTGTATTTTTTAAAACATAGAAAAAATAAAGAAAATGGTTGTAAAGATGGAATATTTTAACAGAGAATCAAAATATATTTTTAAAAGAATAAAATGGGTATTCTAGAACTGCAAAACACAATAAATGAAATGAAGAACTCATTGAATAGATTTAATAGAAGATGGGACACAGTAGACCACAGGATGAGTGAACTAAAAGGCAAGTCGATAGAAAATCCAGACAGAGGCACACATTTTTAAAACTAATACAGGATTTTTGAAAGATGTGAAATAGAGCCAAAACTCTGAATTTCTAGAAGGAGAGAAAGAAAAATAGAACAGAATAAAACATTTGAAGAAATAATGACCAAGATTTTCTAAGTCTGATAAAAGACATAAATACACAAGTTCAAGAAGCTTGAAAGGAAAAAAAAGCAGTACAAAAAACAAATAAAACCATATCTAGGCACATTATAGTTATATGTCAAACCTCAAAGATACATAGGAAATTATAAAAGCAGTCAGAGATGAAATGACACAATTATTTCAGGGGGAGTGAGGAAGAAAACAATGACAGTTACAAGTGATTTCTGGGTAGAAACTATGAGAGGCAGAAGACAGTGGAATGAGACCTTTGTAGATCCAAAAGAGCAAAATACCTGGATACCTAAAATTCAGGACCCAATAGGAAAAAAAATTTAATGAAGGTTAAAAAATTATTTTTATAAAAAGAAATATGAGAAAATGAATCACCAGAAAATCCTCACTATAAAAAAAAAAACAGTTCTTAAGGCAGAAGGAAACTAGAGCCACAGAAGAATAAGAAAGAAGGAACAGCACAAGAACATGTGAAGATGTAGGTAAATGGAAAAGATTATGACTGTTTAAAATAACAGTGGCAGCCAGGCACGGTGGGTCAAGCCTGTAATCCCAGCACTTTGGGAGGCCGAGGCGGGTGGATCACGAGGTCAAGAGATCGAGACCATCCTGGTCAACGTGGTGAAACCCTGTCTCTACTAAACATACAAAAAAATTAGCTGGGCATGGTGGCGTGTGCCTGTAATCCCAGCTACTCAGGAGGCTGAGGCAAGAGAATTGCCTGAACCCAGGAGGCAGGGGCTGCGGTGAGCCGAGATCACACCATTGCACTCCAGCCTGGGTAACAAGAGTGAAACTCTGTCTCAAAAAACAACAACAACAACAAAACAGTGGCTTACAAGATTTATTCCACATAGAAGTAATATTTATAAGAAAAATAAATAATAAAAAGTAAAAAGAGAATAAATGAAGTTAAACTATTGAAAGATTTTTGCATTAATCTGGACATGGTAAAAAAAAAAGTAAAGTAAATTCAAATAATTACTAGATATATTTTTGAAATGCCTGGAGTGACCACTGAAAGAGTAATACTAAAACACAAGCTAATGGAGAATAAAAATAAATAACAAAAATATAATTAATACCAAAAACAAAGGCAGGAAAAAAAGAATAAAACAGAACAGATGAGACAAATAAAAAAAAATAGTAAATAAATAAATTGGCCTGGCTTGGTGGCTCATACCTGTAATCCCAGCACCTTGGGAGGCCGAGGCAGGTGGATCACCTGAGGTCAGGAGTTCGAGACCAGCCTGGCCAACATGATGAAACCCTGTCTCTACTTAAAAAATACAAAAATTAGCCAGCATGATGATGAGAGCCTGTAATCCCAGTTACTTGGGAGGCCAAGGCAGAAGAATCACTTGAACCCAGGGGGTAGAGGTTGCAGTGAGCTGAGATCACACTACTGCACTCCAGCCTGAGTGACAGAGAGAGACACTGTCTCAAAATGAATACCTTACTTAATTAAATAAAATTTTAAAAATAAAATAAAACAAAAGAAGACTATAATAGATATTTAAAATAACTAAAAAGAGAAATACACAAATGCGCACTCAGACTGGAGGATTCTAAAACAAGTCTCGGTTAATGACAACACATTGACAAAGATGGAAGAGATTTGGTTAAGACAATTAACCAGCTTGGCCTAATTAACACACAGCAAAGAATGTTCATTATTTGCAAGGGCATGTGAGATATACTGTTGGCCATAGACCATAACCTGGTCAATAAAACAAGTCTCAGCAAATTGTAGAAGACTAAAATAATATGCTGTATACCTTCCAACAACAATGAAGTAAAACTAGGAATCAGTGGTAAACGTGTAACTGAAAAATTCCAGAGATGCTTAGAAATTAAGCAACATGTTTCTAAATAATCCATGAGTCAAAGAAGAAATCATAATAGAAATTAGAAACTATTTTAGATATTTTAGGTTTTGTTGTTGTTGCTGCTTGTTTTTATTTCATCCTCTCTGACTTTAATTCCTAAATCAATAAAATAGGGATCACTGTAACAATGTCATTTGAGGTGATTTTGCAGAATAAATGATAGTATATGAATTTCCTGGCACATAGTAGATAGGCAATACATATTCTTTATCTCTAATCCTTAGAAACTATTTTGAACTGAACAGACTTCATCTCAAAATGTGTGGGATGCCTAGAGAGAAATTTATAGCCTTAATTGCATAGATTGCAGAAGAAGAACAGCTGAAAATCAGTGACCTAAGTTTTCAACACAAGAAGCAAGAAAAAGAACAGCAAATGAAATCAGAAGCAGGAGGAGGAAAAAATATAATAAAGATAGAAGAAGAAACCAATGAGCCGGGCGCAGTGGCTCAAGCCTGTAATCCCAGTACTTTGGGAGGCCGAGGCGGGTGGATCATGAGGTCAAGAGATCGAGACCATCCTAGTCAATATGGTGAAACCCCATCTCTACTAAAAATACAAAACATTAGCTGGGCATGGTGGCGCGTGCCTGTAATCCCAGCTACTCAGGAGGCTGAGGCAGGAGAATTGCCTGAACCCAGGAGGCGGAGGTTGCGGTGAGCCGAGATCGCACCATTGCACTCCAGCCTGGGTGACAAGAGTGAAACTCCGTCTCAAAAAAAAAAAAAAAAAAAGAAAAGAAAAGAAAAAGAAAAGAAACCAATGAAATAAAATACAATAAATCAATAAACAGAATTGGTTAAACTAAAAGTTGATTCTTTGAAATGATTGATTAAATTGTTGAGGTCAGGGAGGAAAGACAGAAAGAGAGAAAGAAAAGAAGGAAGAGAGAGACAAGGAGACAAAGAGGGAAAAGGAGACAGGAGGGGGAGAGCAAGAAACAGAAAGATGGAGAGATAGAGAAGGAGACGCAGAGAGAGGAAAGGAGGGAGGGCGGGTGGAGCCAGATGGGACAGAGAAACAGAGATAGAAAACAGAATGAATGAATGCCAAGAACTCAACACTAAATATCCTGCACATGGTGAAGGTGACCATAGGAACACTGTGATATTTTATCCCAGAACTCCCAAAAGTCAAGAACTGTCCACAGATGGCATGTGGCCTAAAAGTCTCTGCAAGCACAGAGCCAGGTTGAAACCCCGTTCTACCACGTTCTATGGTCCATTGCTCTTTCCACTGCAATGTTCAAGACTCTATGTACAGAATTAGAACTCGGGCTGGTTGGAAAATGCACAGTCTGATCTGATGAAAGTGTGAACACCCGCTTAGTGCCCTGATGGAGCCTAACCAGAGGGGCAGGCTTCGATGTCTCATGGCAGGTGGGAACAGAGACCCCGAGGCCAAAGTGCCCAGGTGCGAGTCCCCGCTCCTCCCCTCACTGGCTGTGTGACTGCAGTGACTGTGATTCTCTGTTTTCTCTGTACCAGCCTCCTCTCATTTGGTAAGTGGGGAAGATGACTGTACCTCCCTCTCAGGACCCTGGTGGATTGCATAAGTGAATGGGGTGGACCCTGGAACACAGTCACGTGTGATGAGTGAGCAGCTATGCAGACCTGACCTACCTCTGGGCCGTTGCTCTGGGACCTCAGAGCTTGCCCCTGAGCCACAGAACACCAGAGCCTCTTCTCTTTCTCCAAACGTGCTTCTTTCACTCCGGCTCCACCGACATTTCCTTGTAGGGTGTTGACTACGTCAGCGTTGTTCCAGACCAGTGATGGAGGAGGGGAATCAGCACTGCATCTGGAATTCCCAGCACCTGTGGAAGGTCCTGCCTGCCCTGCAGCCAGCCTCGTTGCGTTCTCCAAGGGTGGCCCACAGGCTCTTGGAAGCAGCTGCCCTGTGCATGGAGTCACCTGCACCTCTTTGTCCACAGCATGCATCCTGGCTTTTCCCTGGAGGTGCTGCCTTCCCCTCATCGAATGCCCCTGATCCGTGCTCCTCTGCAAGGTGACGTCCCTCTCCAGGACGTCGACCCTGCGTAGAAGGTGCTCGTTCTGCCCCCTGAAGGCCCAGATCATGTCTTCTATGCCCAGCACCACATCCTTGATCAGCTCTTTGTAATTGACGCCGAGCTCTGAGATCAGCACCCGGAGCTCCTGGTTCTCCAGGGTGACTTGCTCCACCGTGCCTTTGGATTTCCGAATGCTCTCCGACATGGCCTTCTGGAGCTGGCCCAGATTCCCTTTCAGTTTTTCATTTTCCTCTTCAAGCTCCAAAATTTTGCTGTAACTCTTCCCGTTGCAGTCTTCCAGGTCGGAGATAACTTGTAAATATCGGTCCAGTTCTTTCTTTAACTGAGAGACGTCCCCTCCCAGCACCTGGTTCTCCTGCTCCAGCCTGGATATTTTTGTCACCTCTCTCTCTCTTTCAAGGGCGCACACTCTTTTATGGCACCTCTCTTGGTCTCCGTGAAGTTTGGCGTTGTCATGTAAAATCTGGCTTCTCTCTTTCTTCAGTCTAGAAATGAGCTGATGAAACCTGCTCTTCACTCTCTTGAGGGCACCCGAGGGCTCAGCGGGCTCCCCTGGAGGGTCCGGGCTGGCTTCATCCCAGTCAGGCGGTGTCCCTGGGTCACCAGGAACTTTGCTGGTGCCCAGGGCTGTGGTCTTTTCCAGCGTATCACCTTCACCACTCTCTTTAGATTTTGCTTCTTCATCAGAACAAATACCCTGGTTTCCCCAAACCTGCTGAGAGCAAGCGCGCTCCCCACCAATGTGCCACTTCCGAGCGAAGCTCCTCCCTCCCCCGCACACAGAGGCTGAGTGCTGCCAGCCCCCACCACCCGGCTGCAGTGTGGACAGCTGCTGGAAGCAAGCCTCCACCTCCTGTGCCAGCTCATCGATTGTGAGTGCACACCTGTCCTGTCCTTGGCTCACAGCTTGCCGTTGACCATGACCAGTGGGTTCACCCCCGTCAGCTGATAAGGCAAATCTGGGAAACAGCGGTAAACCTGTCTCTTCCATAAAGAAAAGCATTTCCTTGCTCTCCTGTCCCTGGGAGTCAAGCTCCTCGGGGGCACCCCTGCACCCCGGACTGGACGCTTCTTGATGCGGTACCTCATCCTCCTCCTCTAGCCCTTCGTCCTCCTGGCTTTCTCCTTGCAGAATCTGAGCATTTCCGAGCCACATCTGGCTTTCCTCCTTGCCCCTAGCTGTCCTCCCGAGACCTCTGCCTCTCCCTGCCAGGAGCTGACTGTCTGCTGGCCTCGGCTCTTTGGTCTCATGAGCGCTGCTGAAGGTGGCTGGGGGTGCCACCTCTTCCTTCTCTGATGACAGTCCTCCTCCGAGACCCCAGACACATCCTTCCACTCTTCCCCTCCTGCTCAGGGATTCGGGCCCCTCCTTTGACGCTGAGGCCTCCCCCTGTAGAAGAGGCATCAGAAACTCCTGCCAGGGCTCAGGGCAGCAGGTGGTGGCCTTGTTCTTGGAAGCCCCTTGTTCTTGGAAGTCCTGCACGCCCTCTGTGGCTCCAGCCTGGTTCTCCAAGCTCAGGTTCTGACGGCTTTCCTGACTTGGCTGGTGCTTGTCACTGAGGTTTTTCCCCTTCCTGCCCAAAGGCCCCCTTGCCTCCCCCTCTTCGGTTCTTCTCCCCAGGCTTCCTCCTCTGTTGTTCCAAGTGTCTTTCAGATCCTTAGGGTCTTTTTTGGGAAATCGGTGATTTGAAATGTGGGGGGCCTCATGGAAGAGGGAGGCACCATGGCCTCTTGCCTGGTGACAATCCCAGCCAGGGTGTCCTGTGGCTTTGGGAGGAGGTGGGGACACGGTGACCAGCTCATCTTGGGTTTGTAGTCCATCGAGGGGAACCTTCTGGAGTGGCCAAGAAGCTGAGTCCCCCGCCGGCCCCCAGAGAGGGCGTGTAGACGTCTGCACCAGGAGGAAGGCCTCTGGGGTCGGGTCGGCTGCTAGATTCTCTGAAATCCGGGCCAGGTCCATCGGGAGGAGTGACTCGTGTAAGCATTCTCTTGAGGGGTAGCCACAGACCAGGAGAAGAATCTGTCCATCCAAGCTGGGCTCTGCCAGAGTAAGCTATGAATGGAGAGAGAAGATGAGGTGTGAAACAGCCCCTTTCACCATTCAGCACCCCCAGCTCCACTTACGTCCTGGGGTTCTCTGTGCTTCCCCACCAGCTGCACAGGGCACAAGCTCTTTCCCACACAGGACACAGCTGGTACCACCCCAGGGCCTTCACACGTGCTCTTTGCTCTGCCTAGAACGTCCCTTCCCACAGATAACCCCATGGCTCACTCCCCAGCTCCACTCACATCTCAAGGCAAACGTGACTTCCTCGAGAAGGCCCTGCCTGACAGTCCTCCGTCACTCTTGGGCCATTCACCCCGTGTCACCCCCCACAGCGCCCTCCGCGCCCTCACCCCACATTATTCATTTCTGTCCATATCGTCTACCTCCTGCTATAACCTTGCCCCAACCAATCCGCTAGTCATGGGCCCTATGGAGCTCCTAAAATGCAGAGTAATCAAATCAAGATTAGCATTCAGTTCTGGGGTGGCACCAGCCCCGTGTGGCTCCTGGCTACCATCTTGGGCAGTGCAGATGCAGAATGTGACCAGCGCTTCCAAAGGCTCTAATGGATGGCGCTCGTGCAGCTGTCCACTCCCTGAGGGCAGGACTTCATCTTTGTTCAAATCCTGGGCCTAGAACAGTGCTGGGCACACAGGAGGTGTTTACTCAATATTTTTGATGTATTTTTATCTTCATTTATTTGATGTGTTTATCCAGAGAGGAGGGGGTGCCCAGGTCATAGCAGAGGCCCCAGCTGGGCAGGGGGAGGCCTGAGGATGAAATCTACACTCAGCCAGGCTCACTGTGAGTCCCCAGAGGCTGCTCCCGGGCCTGGCAGGTTGCAGGCAGTTCTCAGTGGCACTTCTAGAACAGCTTCGAGAGGCTCAGCGGGTCTAAGACACAGATGAGAAGGACAGAGGGAGTGTCTCAAAGGACAGAGGGGTTCTGAGCCTTCGTGAATGGGCATAGCAGCAAAAGAACCCCTTCAGGGAGAGGGGACTTGAAGGCCAGGAGAGCTGCCCTTCCTTGGAGGGGCCATTGCATCCTGCTCCCTGGAGCTGCCTGTGGGCAGCACCCATCCCCTGTCGTCTTTGCCTCTGTCTGCGATGTCCGTCCATCCAGACACCAAGGCACGGTACCAGCTGCCCACAGAGAAAATGGCACTTACTCCAGAGAGGTACAGACCTGGCTTCAGCCCTAGGTGTGGCCTGAGCAAGTTCCTTAACCTGCTGGAGCCTCCGTCACCTCGCCTGTCAAATGGGGCACCTCAGTGTTATAAGACATTGTCCTGGGCTTCGAGGGAAGGGGGCGGCGAGCAGGAAGGAGTATAGGAATGCAGCATCCAACAAGAATAGGAGCTGCATCAGGAGCAGGACGTGAATGAATGAAGAGGGAACGGAGGGCTCTCTCTGTTTAGAACCGCAGAGCCACAGCCGGGCTCGCAGGCTTCAGCTCTGGTCCCGGCAAGGCTCCGTTCCTCAGGGACAAGAAAACGGAAGTGGAGAAAGGCTACGACTCCCTCGGCCTCAGAGCGAGGCCTGGGAGGTGAGTCGGGATGCAGGCTCGTGACCCTCAGGGCTGCTGTGGAGCCTGGAGCTCGGGGTTCACCTCCAGGCTGGGAGCCTTGGGGAGTCACAGTGGCCCTTGGAGTCTTGCCTCCTCTTCAGAGCAGAGGTGGCAGCACGGCCTCGTGGGCGTCAGGAGGAGCCAATGAGATGAAGCCTGCTCCATGGTAGCCCAGGCCTGGCACCCAGTTAACCCCTTCCTCCCCACTCCTCATCCAGATCTCAGGATGTTTCATTTCCTCTCCTCAAATCGCCCTTTCAACTACTTCCAGAATGTTCTTCCACACCTGGAGCTTCCTTAGCCCTCCCACTTCCTGCGGATGGCCGCATAGCCTGTGCAAGGCAGGGCTGGGGTGCCCAGGGGCACAGCACACACGCACAGAGAGCCTCCGGCCTCACCTGATCACGGTCGAATCCTGCCAGGTCTCCCGGGAGCTCGCTTGTGGCCTCCGGGCCTGGAGCCAAAACAGAAGAGGCCTGTCCAGGCCCAAAGCAGCTCCAGGCACAGGACCCCTCCGGGGACTGGCCTGAAAACAAGACCCTGGAGGTTACAAAGACACGCCCGGGGGCTCTGCCATGATTGTCTCTAAGGACCACGCCCCCTGGGCTAGGGTGAGATGGCACCCCCAGCCCTGAACTTTGAGCCTCCCCATGCCTCCCAAGGGCAGTCTGATGACCACCAGCATCTTGATCAGGGGAGGCAGCTGAGGCTCAGAGATATGAAACAACCATCAGCAGGGGGGCGGAGGCCCCAGGGCTCCCAGCCATCGCTGCGGCCACAGACTCCTGCACATCTTTCTAAGCCTCAGCATCCTCATCTGTCAAGCACAGTAATGAGCCTCACCCCAGTCCAGCACAGTTGGTATGAGGGCACACCTGACCTGGGTTGACGTGGCAGCTCAGCTCCCCAGAAATGGGATCAAGGGCAAACGCTGGCTGCTCAGTCGGCAGCACCACTGTGCTACATGTATGCAGGATAATGCCATCCCTCAATGGCCCTTGGGCTTGGAGGGCTGGAAATAAACCACAGATGCCCAGGTGGCCACCATGACTGTGAGTCTCCCTGAGTGCAGGGGCTCTGGAGGCCACGGCTGAAGCTGTTATAAGAAATATTGGCTCAGGCCAGGCGTGGTGGCTCAGGCCTGTAATCCCAGCACTTTGGGAGGCTGAGGTGGGTGGATGACATAAGGTCAGGAGTTCCAGACCAGCCTGGCCAACATGATGAAAGCCCATCTCTCCTAAAAATACAAAAATTAGCCAGGCATGGTGCCAGGCACCTGTAATCCCAGCTACTTAGGAGGCTGAGGTAGGAGAACTGCTTGAACCTGAGAGGCGGAGGTTGCAGTGAGCCAAGATTACACCACTGCACTCAAGTCTGGGAGACAGAGAGAGACTCCATCTCAAAAAAAAAAAAAAAAAGAGCGAGAGAGAGATCGGTTCACATCAGGGAAAATAGCCTTCTAAGCTCCAGCAGCTTCCCCATCTGCCAGGTGTGAGTTTCACTGCCTCACCCTGGAGCTGTCTGGGAAGTGGGGGGACAGGGTGGCTCCCAGTCATCACATGGAATTCTGTGAAGGCAAGTCCCTGCCACCAACCTGCTTGCCTGTGGGGCCGTCTGGCTGACACCCTCCTGAGGGCCGAGGGTATGAGCCTGTGTCCAGCCGAGCCCGAGCCAAAGGCCCCTGGTGGGAGCTGCACACTGATCCCAACTGCAGCAGCTATGACCTGAGTGAGGACCCCTACCCCTCTGAGCATCAACTCTTGTCTGTAGAGAGGGGGGACCACCCCTCCCCCGCCTCATTAGGACATGATGGGGAGGAAGCGAGATAGCCCCTTGGTGGGTATTGCCCGGGACCCCAATCTCCACGCACTGCCGCGCCCACACACCTGCTGAGGCCCTTTGTCCAGGAACATCATCGGACTGCAGGGAGCTCCGCCAGCCTTGGCTTTTGCAGGGGTCCAGGGCCTCCTCCCTGGGCAGGGGCAGTGAGTCACCCTGAACACAGCCCAGGGCGTCCTGCAGGAAGACAGAGGAAGTCAGGAGCCACTAGTGTCCTGGCTGAAGTGTGCACTCCAAGCCCATCCCCAGAGGCCCCCCATACAGGGGGGTGGAGTCCCTTCTGCAGGTGAGGAAACTGAGGCTCAGAGGGCAGAGAGCTCACAGCCTGGCAGCACAGCCCCAGCCTTGTGCTTTTGGCTCCCCAGGCCAAACTGCCCCCTCTTAGCCCTTGGATGCCTGTCCACAGATAATGAGGGCAGCGTTCGGTCCTCAGAGGAGTGTGTCCATCCAGTCAGGAAGCACCCAGGTCCCCTAAGTAGGGGCATGGATCAGACTGGTATAGTCCGTGGCCTGTTAGGAGTGGAGCCGCATGGCAGGAGGTGAGCGGTGGGTGAGCGAGTGTTACCGCCAGAGCTCTGCCTCCTGACAGATCAGCAGAGGTATTCGATTCTCAGAGGAGCGCGAACCCTACTGTGAACTGCATGTGCAAGGGATCTAGATTGTGCGTTCCTTATGGAATCTAACGCCTGATGATCTGAGGTGGCACAGCGTCATTCTGAAACTATCCCCCCACCCACACCCTGCCCATGGAAAAATTGTCTTTCATGAAACCTGTTTCTGGTGCGAAAAAGACTAAGGACTGCTGCCCTAAAGGGCACCCCAGTCTTCCAGCTCCGCCCTCCTGTGCCAGGTTCTTTCCATGACCCACCCAGCAGGGAGGGTGTCTGTCCAGGGGGGTTGGACCGTCCTGTCCTTCAACGGTCAGTAAGCTCCAAATGCAACTACCAGCTACCTTGGCAGTGCCCTGTGCCCTGGACGTCTCTGCAGTGTGGAGTTTCCCCAGCTGCCACCTGCTGCAGATCAGGATTATTGAGAGGTGGCTCCTTCACCGCTGCCATGCGGCAGAGGTGTGGGACTGGTACAAAGAAAACACCTCAACTGTCACCCATTGCCCACGAGGGGTTGGGCACAGGTCTCTGTGTTCCCACGGCTCCGGCTACTTCCACTATGGTGCTCCAGCCCAGTGCTGTGGGCTCCCTACTCCACTGCGCTGTGGGCTCCTCTAGGAAGGGAGCTTGGCTTCATTTTGTCTGCACCCTCACCCTAGTCTGTATATAGTAGGTGCTTAATAAATGTTTCATCCTTGAGTGGATAGATAGAACCTGAAGAAAAGCAGATGTTTTAGATTTACCAGTGCATTCATTCAGGAAACATTTATTAGGCTCCTGCTGTGTGCCAGGTGTGGCTCTAGACCAGGAGGAAACAGAAGTGAACGGGTAAGTGCCCTGTCCCCGTCTCGCCTGCTCCCCAGGTCCTCACCTGCCCTCAGCAGACCCAGCATCTGACTTCTGGCTGGTTCTCTGCCCCCTTTGCATTCTTCCTGCAGCTACCAGGGAGACCCGCTGATCTGCCAGGCTTCCCTTGGCTCTCCTCTGGCTATGGGTCAGCACGGATGCTGAAATTAGGTGCTGGTGGCTGTCCACAGGCTGTCACTGCTGCCCTTGTTCCCACCCCTGCGGCTTTGCGCCAGCTTCCCCTACAGAGGCCTGCCTGCCCCAGTGCATCCGTGCTCTCCCCGGCCTCTGCATGCCCCCATTTGCTATTCCTGCGGCCTGGCTGGCGCATCCTCCTGGGGAGGGACCTTGATCACCTGCCTGCTGCAGGTGAAGCCTTCTCTGCTCCTTGCTCCCAGCCCCTCCCTTCCATGCACCTCTGTTTCTAGCGATGGCAGTAAAATGGGAACTGGATACAGTTGCTCCCTGCTTCTCACGCTTCCTGTTACACTCAAAGATGAACTGCTGGCCTCACGGCCCCACTTCCACCCCGCCACCCCCCACCCACGTCTGTGCTCCTGGATGGGACTCTTTCTCCCCACGCCTCAGAGCCTTTGCACACACAGTGTCTGGCCCTCTCTTCCCACCCTCTGCCTGGTCAACCTCCTCCCCTTCTGGGATCCGCTTAAAGGCCAGATCCTTCACGAGGCCTTCTTTGGCCTTCATCTCCTCCCACTCTGGGTTGGTGGCCTCCTGTTGATCTGCATGATGGTTTGGGTCCTGTCTATTTCTTCTCATAGGCAGGGGCCTCAGCACTGGCCACATCATGGAGTCACCCAGAAGCTGTAAATAAGAACCAGTGCAGGAGCCTCAACCTGAACCCATGAACTCCAGAGGGCCTGGGCAGCAGCATCATGTCCCGACAGTCCCCTGCCTGCACCGGGGGGGCGCCTGGGCAGCAGCATCCTGTCCCAACAGCCCCCTGCCTGCACCGGTGGGGGGGTCTGGGCAGCAGCATCCTGTCCCAACAGCCCCCTGCCTGCACCCGGAGGGCCTGGGCAGCAGCATCCTGTCCCGACAGCCCCCTGCCTGCACCGGGGGGCCTGGGCAGAAGCATCCTGTCCCGACAGCCCCCTGCCTGCACCGGGGGGCCTGGGCAGCAGCATCCTGTCCCGACAGCCCCTTGCCTCCACCGGGGGGCCTGGGCAGAAGCATCCTGTCCCGATAGCCCCCTGCCTGCACCGGGCGGCCTGGGCAGCAGCATCCTGTCCCGACAGCCCCCTTCCTGCACCGGGGGGCCTGGGCAGCAGCATCCTGTCCCGACAGCCCCCTACCTGCACCTGGGGGGCCTGGCTTACCACTGCAGCTGTCAATGTGCTCCCCACCCCCTTCCGCTGCCTCTTGTCTTTATGCATTTGGTTCCCATTCGACCAGAATTACACACTTTGTCAGTTGCTTAAAATCATCGTTGGAGTGAGAGAAAAAAGAGAAAATGAAAGAGAGAAAGAAGGCATCCAAGAAAGGACGAGAAAACGTGAATGACAAAGGAAAAGGAGAGGAAATAAGATAGAAGAAGGAGGAGGCAGAAATTCAAAGCGAAAGCAGGAGGAGAGAGAAGTCGAAGGAGAGAGAAAGGACTAGTTAAACAGGAAAGGGAGGAGGCTGGCGAGGCAGCGTGGAGGCCACTGCACAGCTCAGAAGGTAGAAATGGTCACCGGTGCTGTCTTTTGTGGATTTTGTTATCAAAACCACGCCGACTTCAATGCAATTCAACAAACACTTGGTGAGCACCTACTATGTGGCAGGCCCTGATGTGGAGCTGGGACACAGCCATGGATAAACACACCCAGATCCCTGCCTCAAAATGTTGCCCATTGTCTAGCTTACCCCCTTCATGTCACAACGGATGAAAGCAGTGCTCAGAGAAGGCGAGTCACTTGTCCAAGGTCACACGGCAAGTTGACAGGAGAACAGGAGCAGAGCTCAGGTTTCTAAACCTGATCTAGAACTTTCTGTCTCCCTGCCTTGCTCTATTAGTTCAACCCTCAAGAAAACATTTGCCTGTAACTTAGTCTGGACTCGGCTTTAATGTGCAATTATAAGCAAAAAGAAGAAAATGAAGAATACCAGGATATCCAGACAAAAACAGTAACGTGTTAGAGGCCCTTCTGGGCTTTTTCCTATGCATAGACATAGTGAAAGTTCTATTTATACAAAATGTAAATTTTCACTTTGTGAGTTTTGCATTTAATGATATAGAAAGTTCATTTCTCTACAAGATCTTCTGCAGTGTGGATTTTATAGCTACCTAATATTTTCTGCTGTAAGGGACAGGAAAAAAGGGAGAGAGAAAGTTCCAGATTAAATCAATTTCCTCTTACTGGGCAGTTGAGTGTTTACAATTTTGACCAACTATCAGCAGAGCTGAGATAAACATGACTGTACATAACCTTCTGCACCCTCTGATCACTTTTTGGATACATTTGTGGAAGTCAGATGGCTGAGACTCGGCATAAACCTTTTGAAAGGCATTTAATACTTATTGGTTGACAGACCTTCCAAAGAGAAGTGTTCATTTTTACTCCTGATAACTCAAACACTGCCCAGCCGTGGGCCCTTTTGACCTCTGACAGGCATACAGGAGAAAATGGAATTCTGAGGTTTTTCTCATTGGTGTTTATTTTGTAACCAAGGGAGCTGACCATGTGTTTTTTTTAATCAGGCCACTGGCCATCTTGTACTTTCTTTTATATTATTTGCATGTTCATCCCTTTCGCCTGTTTTACTTTTTGACATTATTAACTTTTTTTTTTTTAAGCTCTTGCTTGCTGCTGGAGTGAGAAACAAATGTGCAATATGCCCTTCTGCACAGAAGCAAGCGGTGAGCAAGGCTGCCTGGAATTTGCCCAACAACAAAGAGATTCACGTAGCTGCCACCAGGGGTCACTCTATGCACACGGCCAGGGCCCATCCAGGAACTCCTAAAGCCCCTGACATTGATCGTGGTCTCAGCGGATGACAATGGACGAGGACTTTTTAAGAGCCTAGGTTTTCATCTGTCTGCACAAGCATCTCTAGGACCTCCAGGCCAGGCACAGCCCTGGGCCACCCTCCGTTGTAGCATCATCGTCATGTCATGCTCTGCACCTGTCTGTCTCCCCTGTAAGCTTTTGGGGAGCAAGATGCTTGCCCGGCTCACTGCACCTGGGACGTGGCAGGTGCCCAGTGCACACCCACGGGAAAGCATTCATATCCATCTGTAGATAATCTATGTTTGTCTTGCCAACTATGAATGGTTCTTATTTCCTTTTATCCTGAGCAGAAACCCTGTCCCCAAACTCCTCCCCAAGGTCAGGGTTTGTCTTTGCAGTGGCCCGTTCCTCTGGGGATCAGCGTTCCAAGTGACTTTCTCTAAAACATATGACCCCAGGCAAGTTATGGAACTCCTCCGGCCGTCTTTCGGGCACTGCCCCGGCCGTCTTGCAGAGTCCGTGAGTTCCTGCCTAGGAAAGTGCTTTGTGAACACGAAGCGGAGAAAACACATTCTTATAATGACTGCCCTTGCCACAGTGCACATCATGGCTCCCAGAGCACATCAGACGTAACCAAGGGGCAGCTGGCAGTGGGGTCCAGCCTATACCTCCTTTCAGACGCTGCTGCTTCTACTTCCTTGGGCAAGTGACGTTACCTCTCTGCCTCAGCGTCCTCCTCTGCAAAATGAGAATCCATAACTGTACTGCCTCA